AGTACAATATAATTTAAATCTCAAAAGATAAATAAAATGATTGTTATTATTCGTAGTTAAGATCTCTTTAAATTTTACTTTAAAATTAATCTGACGGCTAATATTAACATCCAAAATTTAATAAAAAAAATAAGCTCCTAAATGTGTGTTTGAAATAACTTTTTAAAAGTGTTTCAACAAAATATTTCTACGAATTATTTCTCATAAGTATTTTTAAAAAACGTACTGTTTGAAACCGCCCCACCACCACCACCAACATCACCATTACTACCACAACTACCCACCACCACCACCTCTACCACCATCGTCGCCACCACCACCACTATCGCCACCTTACCACACCCACCGCCCTCACCACCACCTTCATTATTCCATCACCACCACCTTCACCGCCACACCACCAATGATGTCGTACCCTACTATCCCCACCGCCACACCATCACCCCTACGATCATCACAATTACCATCATCACTACCATAGTCGCCAAATCACCACTGTTGTTGTTGCCACCNTAAAATAGTGTTTGAAACCGTCCCACTACCACCACTACCATCACCAACTCCCCACCACCACCATTCCCACTATAACCATCCACACCATCACCGTCGCCATCGCCATCGCCACCCCAACACCACCACCATCATTACTGTCGTCGCCCTACCACTAATATCACTATCGCACCACCACCTTCACCGCCTCACCACCATCGTCACCACCCCACCACCCTCGTCACCATCGTCACCCCCACCCCACCGTCGCCACTGCCCCACCGCTGATTGCTACTACTATAGTCTACCACCACCATTTACCATCATTATCATCTCAGTCTCATATATATTACCACTACCACCATCATTCAACTNTCGTTGCCACCCCCGCAACCGTCGGCGCCGCCGCCACCACCGTCGTCGCCCCCACCTCCTCCACCTCTACCTCTACCCTCACTGCCCCACCACCTTCACCCCCATCACCATCACCATCACCATCGCGCACCCACCATGATTGATACCACTGTCGTCCACTACCACCATTCACTGTCATCGTTATTTTATTTTTATATTTATTATCATTATCACCATCATCTCANTCGCCCTACCACTAATATCACTATCGCACCACCACCTTCACCGCCTCACCACCATCGTCACCACCCCACCACCCTCGTCACCATCGTCACCCCCACCCCACCGTCGCCACTGCCCCACCGCTGATTGCTACTACTATAGTCTACCACCACCATTTACCATCATTATCATCTCAGTCTCATATATATTACCACTACCACCATCATTCAACTACCATTATCACCCACGGTCAGCACCCATCATCGTCATTATTACCCATTACCACCCACTGTCACCCACTACCACAACCCACCACCACCCGTTGTCGCCCACTATCGTGGTCAACCACTATCACTCATCCCCTTACCATACCTACCACCAACACCACCACTGTTATTTGTCACCACCTATCACGCTGTTGTGCTAGAAGTACTTGGTATCGCCAACCACCATCATCGTCACCGCCCCACCACCACTACCAATCACCATCACTGTCACCCACCACCCACTATCACCACTACTGTCACTCATGACTGTCACTACCACTATCATCACTCAAAATTCACCACCACCATCACGGTTACCACCCACGACTGTCACCATTATTACGATCATCACCACCCATCATAACCATCACAATCTCTCACTACCACCACTCATCCCCACTACAACCTGTGCTTAAATTTTTTTTTTCTTTTCTTTTATATTTGTGATTTGATTTTTGATGTGAATAGAAATATATTTATTGTTAAACATTTTTTTTATTACTAAATGCCTTCAGGCATAGGCAATATATAGTCTATATAACAAAGTACAATATAATTTAAATCTCAAAAGATAAATAAAATGATTGTTATTATTCGTAGTTAAGATCTCTTTAAATTTTACTTTAAAATTAATCTGACGGCTAATATTAACATCCAAAATTTAATAAAAAAAATAAGCTCCTAAATGTGTGTTTGAAATAACTTTTTNTTTAATAGGTAAAACAGATTTTTAAAAGAGTGTTTGAAAATGACTTTTTAAAAGTGCTTATAGAACTTATAATTTTTAATAAATATTTTTTTTAAAATAGTGTTTGAAACCGTCCCACTACCACCACTACCATCACCAACTCCCCACCACCACCATTCCCACTATAACCATCCACACCATCACCGTCGCCGTCGCCATCGCCACCCCAACACCACCACCATCATTACTGTCGTCGCCCTACCACTAATATCACTATCGCACCACCACCTTCACCGCCTCACCACCATCGTCACCACCCCACCACCCTCGTCACCATCGTCACCCCCACCCCACCGTCGCCACTGCCCCACCGCTGATTGCTACTACTATAGTCTACCACCACCATTTACCATCATTATCATCTCAGTCTCATATATATTACCACTACCACCATCATTCAACTACCATTATCACCCACGGTCAGCACCCATCATCGTCATTATTACCCATTACCACCCACTGTCACCCACTACCACAACCCACCACCACCCGTTGTCGCCCACTATCGTGGTCAACCACTATCACTCATCCCCTTACCATACCTACCACCAACACCACCACTGTTATTTGTCACCACCTATCACGCTGTTGTGCTAGAAGTACTTGGTATCGCCAACTACCATAATCGTCACCGCCCCACCACCACTACCAATCACCATCACTGTCACCCACCACCCACTATCACCACTACTGTCACTCATGACTGTCACTACCACTATCATCACTCAAAATTCACCACCACCATCACGGTTACCACCCACGACTGTCACCATTATTACGATCATCACCACCCATCATAACCATCACAATCTCTCACTACCACCACTCATCCCCACTACAACCTGTGCTTAAATTCTTTTTTTCTTTTCTTTTATATTTGTGATTTGATTTTTGATGTGAATAGAAATATATTTATTGTTAAACATTTTTTTTATTACTAAATGCCTTCAGGCATAGGCAATATATAGTCTATATAACAAAGTACAATATAATTTAAATCTCAAAAGATAAATAAAATGATTGTTATTATTCGTAGTTAAGATCTCTTTAAATTTTACTTTAAAATTAATCTGACGGCTAATATTAACATCCAAAATTTAATAAAAAAAATAAGCTCCTAAATGTGTGTTTGAAATAACTTTTTAAAAGTGTTTCAACAAAATATTTCTACGAATTATTTCTCATAAGTATTTTTAAAAAACGTACTGTTTGAAACCGCCCCACCACCACCACCAACATCACCATTACTACCACAACTACCCACCACCACCACCTCTACCACCACTATCGCCACCTTACCACACCCACCGCCCTCACCACCACCTTCATTATTCCATCACCACCACCTTCACCGCCCCACCACCAATGATGTCGTACCCTACCATCCCCACCGCCACACCATCACCCCTACGATCATCACAATTACCATCATCACTACCATAGTCGCCAAATCACCACTGTTGTCGTTGCCACCCCCGCAACCGTCGGCGCCGCCGCCACCACCGTCGTCGCCCCCACCTCCTCCACCTCTACCTCTACCCTCACTGCCCCACCACCTTCACCCCCATCACCATCACCATCACCATCGCGCACCCACCATGATTGATACCACTGTCGTCCACTACCACCATTCACTGTCATCGTTATTTTATTTTTATATTTATTATCATTATCACCATCATCTCACTACTACCATTGCCTACCGTCAACACTCACCACCACTCGTCGTCGTCCACTATTGTCACCCATCACTGTCACCTTCCCTTAACACACCTACCACCATCGTCCGTCATCACTCGCCACTGCAACCATCAATTGTCACATACCTTCACCACACTTACCACCATCACCACTACCACCACCCATCACATTGTGAGGGTGATTTTTGACAGAGTGAGCAATGGAAGATAATAGTAGGACCATATTATAATACTTTAAATATATTGATGGTATAGTATGAAAATTTTAATATTTGAAGATATAAAATAAAAATCTTAAATCTTTTGAGATGCAAAGTACAGTTTACCATTGTTTTTTATCATTATAATTGATTTAATTGTGAGTACCAGTATTTTATTAGAACTAACTATTTATTCAATAGTTGTGATTGATCAAGTTAATAAATTAAGTTTAAATAATATTTTTTATATACAAAGGGTTGGAATTGACGCACAAAAAAGGGATGAGTAAATTGATGGTGGAGATAGACTAAATGGAAAGCTCTCACCATCCTCACAAAGTGCATAGGAAAAATAACACTCATACAAAGCCTTTTGTTTGAGAATTGCAAACATTTGACGAGGGTGAACCAAGTCCTCATAGTGCACAAACACACTACGAGAAGGCAAACAATGCGTTGATATCCTCACCAATATGGGAGAATTTCGTGAAACTTTTGGTTCCACCACACCAAATCTTACAAACTCGGGTTAGGGTGGGGTCGAGGGGTTGCAACAAAGAGTGGAGTGAGTAGGGGTGAAAGTGACCGTGACGATAAAGATGGTAGAATTGTGATGAGGGAAATAAAAAATATTATACATGGTATAAAATACGCTAATTTTAACTAAAAAGATAGTAAGTTTTACCCTAAAATATTGTAAATAAAATTAAAAAATAAATGTACTCCAAAAATTGATAAATTATAATTAAAAAATGATATAAGTACCACGAAAAATGGTAAGTCGTAGACAAACCCCTACAGCACGTGTCCCTTCACCTTGGTTCAGCCCCCACAATGGTTATTGTCCGACAAACCTTTTCGAATTTACAAATAAACCGTCTCTCCAGGTTCCCTTCCTCTATCACTATTAAGCGACATCGTGAGGGTATTGTAGTCATTTCATTTCTGCTTCCACCACGTGAGGTGCGCATGCTGTCCGATTCGACGCCTGAAAGAGCACGACCTCGCCACACGCTTTCGCGTGGAAATAAACCCAGGCCACAGTCTTCGCTGCACCAACTCACCCCTATCGAAATTAAGAACAATCAGTGATCCAATTTATCCATAGCTCTCTCTCGATTCTCGTTGTTTCTCTCTTCTCTGCCTTTTTACTCCAAAAAAAACCCGAAAGAATATCTCCCAAGGTAACATCTTTTCATCTTCGAGGACAATTCATTTAATATCAAATAGGGTTCCTCCAGTTTGTGCACATTTGTACTTGTAAATGTATGAAATCTATACATTATCGCGATTTCGGGGCATTTGGAAGGCAATTAGAGGAATCAATCGTTATTATGTTCTCTAGGGGACAAAAGGGGGAAAGGGTCGCAGCCGCAGGGCGTTTCTGAATACAAATTCTGAGAGTATTCGTGAGAAATAGCCCTTTTCTGAGTATAGCCTAAAATTGCTATCTGTTGTTATTGCTGTTGTAATATTATATAGGAAGCCAACACCAAATGATATTCTTTATAGGCATTGGTGTTGAAACGCTCACATGCATCACAACGTTGATATCTGATTTTTTTTTTTTTTNTAAGTTTTACCCTAAAATATTGTAAATAAAATTAAAAAATAAATGTACTCCAAAAATTGATAAATTATAATTAAAAAATGATATAAGTACCACGAAAAATGGTAAGTCGTAGACAAACCCCTACAGCACGTGTCCCTTCACCTTGGTTCAGCCCCCACAATGGTTATTTTCCGACAAACCTTTTCGAATTTACAAATAAACCGTCTCTCCAGGTTCTCTTCCTCTATCACTATTAAGCGACATCGTGAGGGTATTGTAGTCATTTCATTTCTGCTTCCACCACGTGAGGTGCGCATGCTGTCCGATTCGACGCCTGAAAGAGCACGACCTCGCCACACGCTTTCGCGTGGAAATAAACCCAGGCCACAGTCTTCGCTGCACCAACTCACCCCTATCGAAATTAAGAACAATCAGTGATCCAATTTATCCATAGCTCTCTCTCGATTCTCGTTGTTTCTCTCTTCTCTGCCTTTTTACTCCAAAAAAAACCCGAAAGAATATCTCCCAAGGTAACATCTTTTCATCTTCGAGGACAATTCATTTAATATCAAATAGGGTTCCTCCAGTTTGTGCACATTTGTACTTGTAAATGTATGAAATCTATACATTATCGCGATTTCGGGGCATTTGGAAGGCAATTAGAGGAATCAATCGTTATTATGTTCTCTAGGGGACAAAAGGGGGAAAGGGTCGCAGCCGCAGGGCGTTTCTGAATACAAATTCTGAGAGTATTCGTGAGAAATAGCCCTTTTCTGAGTATAGCCTAAAATTGCTATCTGTTGTTATTGCTGTTGTAATATTATATAGGAAGCCAACACCAAATGATATTCTTTATAGGCATTGGTGTTGAAACGCTCACATGCATCACAACGTTGATATCTGATTTTTTTTTTTTTTAAAAAAAAAGGTCTCTTAGTGCAGTCAAATATGAATGCTAATTCATAAAGATCAAACTAAGATGACGAGTTGTATGGCATTCCTTACATAACCGAAGTGCTTTTAATCCAACAAATCGACCTAATCTGAATAAGAATTTCTTTCCCTTGTCACAGCATATGTTGTTTCGTTGTTTGCGTGGTTGTGGAGTGCATTTTCATGCCTTTTGCTCAATGTTTGGTATGCTTTTTGAGCTTTACAGTTTGGTTTCTTGCAGGGTATTTCTTTGTTTACATTTACCACCTTGAATTTCTTGGGCTGAAAAATAAAGCTGAGCATGGTCTCAGACGCTCCTGTTTCATCGGGTGACGATGACAACAACGTGGTGGTGATGGAGAAACCAGTTAGCAGGTCAGTTTTTGAGAATATGTATGTTTGATTTGTAGAAATCATCTATAAAATTGTTGCGGCTAAAACATAAGTATCCAATTTGCTCATGGCCATGGGGGCTTTTAAATAATTAAGTTAAAAGAAGCTAAATAAACAAGGAATTAGTCGACCACAAATTCAGCGAAAAGCTGCCAAAGGACCCAGTGTGTATGCAGGTTTTTGATGGACAATAATATTGGAATACAGACTGATAGCCACAGCTTTCTGGATTTATTGCTGTTTTGTAATCATATGAATTTTGAGTATTTTTGGGATGTAATCAATTGGATAATACTGACTGATAGCCATTCCTTTCCAGATTGATTGTTCTTTGTAAGTATAAGATTTTCAGTTTTGTTGGATGGGACTCTGTTGATAAGCATTCGCCAAATGTTCTTAATGTGCTTGAAAGCAATTTTTGTTGCAGGTCTTCCCCCAACAAAAAGAACCTTGGGAAAGTTCCTAAGAAAATTCATAAGGCTGAGAGGGAGAAGCTGAAACGTGATAATATGAATGTGCTATATTTAGAACTAGCCAAAACTCTTGGTAATTGCCACCTGTGCTTTCCAAACTTTGTTTAATTATACTTAGTCTTCTTGTATTAATCTCAGTTGATTACTGAATCTCTATCGTACAAACTTTACTTGACTGACTCATTAACTATAAAACATATGTTACCCAGAACCAGCTCATCAGAACGGCGGAAAGGCCTCTACTATTAGTGAGTCCATTCGACTACTTCAGGACCTACTGGCTCAGGTTGATAATCTCAAAAGGGAGAATGCAACTCTTTCATCTGAATCTCGTTACGTAAGCTCTGAAAATTTAGCTCGCTCTCTGTCGATTTGATTTCCTAGAATGCATGACAAAATTTACCTTTTCAATGTTAGGAGACAAATTTCATGGTTATCGACCATCATCTCTGCTCCTTTACTTTTCTCACTTTTTGAATTATGTTTATTTTGCCTAGTGGATCCAAATTTTTGATAGTCTTGGATTCACAGGATTAGGAAACCAAATGAGTAATCGAATAATATTGTATTCAACCGTTAGGGGTGGTTTAGTGGTTGAGCCTGACTTTAGATAACTTAGAGATTTTAGGTTCAATGCATTCTCATACTCTATAACAGCTAGTCACCCTTGTTCTTTAAGGGGCATGCTCTAACCTCAAACCATGGTGGCCAGCCGTTGAATTTGAGGGAGTAGTTAACACAAGTCTGGACATGGTGTAGGAAAAAAATTAGCTTTTCTAAAAATGTGTCTGGTAAAACCCTGCATAATATCTTCTATCAAAAGTTTTAGGTGTTTGGATGATTGATGGGCAGATAACTGTTGAGAAAAAAGAGCTAAAAGAGGAGAATTCTGCGCTGCAAGTTCAGATTGAGAAGCTGCGAAGTGAGATAGAGGAGAGGGTCCGTTGCCAGTTGCCATGGAATTTAGATCCTTCCCAACTGCGAAGCAACACTATTGCACGACCACAGCTGGAAGATCATCTCGTCTTGCCAATAATGGACCATGCATCACAACCAGCACCTGTTGTAGCTCCCGTCTTTGTTATGCCCTTACCTCAGGACCTTCAAACGCAGCACGAGCCTGATAGTCTGGAGGCTGCGTCTAAGCTTCCGGCAAGTGTGACCAGACCGCATGCTCGCTATCCATCACCATCCGATTCTTGGCCATCTCATATTCTTGCCAAACAGTCAAAAGCAACGCACCACACTTGTAGTCATAGTAGTAGCTCTAGCACCAGCAGCAGGGAAGACCAAGGCTTCTGCAATCAGTGAGCCTGTTTTGTTGTAATTGGTGTTGTGTCGGTTAATATGAGGGATTCGAAATGTTCGTTTATTTGTGTACATTATGGTGTATCATCTGCTCAATAGCAATTTGGATAAACTTTAGGGGCCTTTCTGCATTTAGCGTATTAAAAGATAAGGATTTGAAGTAGAGAAATGATTGGAGTAAGACACCGAGGGCATGTTTGGTATGCGGAAATAGTTCCATCTTATAAACCAACTCATGTTTGGTTAGATTTATTTGGGAAATTAATTTCGCCCGTTCTTGGCACGGTAATGAATAGTGGATTAAAACCCATAAATGGAAGTTTGATGGAACCTTGAGCGTGGATTCTCTCTTGAGTTTTAAAAGTGAGAGCTTGGACTTGAAAATAAAAAGGTTTTTTTATTTAAAAATTTATTATTCTATTCACTTAATAATAAATATTTTAATAAATTGAGTAATATGATTTGGCGATTTGAGAAGATTTTATAAATACAATTCAATCCTCTTAAAAAAATACATCCAAAAAGGTCCCCATGGAATTGCTCTCCACGAATTTAGCCCCAACCAAGAAAGAGATCCTAAATTTATAGGTCTATAATAAAGTCTATACCATACATTTAAACCCATAAAAATTGAGTCCAACAAAAATCTTAATTAAAATTTAAACCAATAAAAATAATTTAGTTAAATGATTTGGGCCTAAAAATTGTTATGTTTAGCATATTTGTTTTTAGCCTAAAAATTTGTGTTTATCCTAAAAATTTAAGCCATTATATAAGTTGTGTTTAAGGTATTTATTTCATATTTAGCTGGATTTANAACCATTATATAAGTTGTGTTTAAGATATTTATTTCATATTTAGCTAGATTTATGTTGGTCTGTTTATTTGAAAGATTTATTAGATTTATTTATTTATCACCCNAGCCATTATATAAGTTGTGTTTAAGGTATTTATTTCATATTTAGCTGGATTTATGTTGGTCTGTTTATTTGAAAGATTTATTAGATTTATTTATTTATCACCCGTATTTATTAAGGTTAAATCCAAACTCATTATTTTTATATCGATTTTTTATTGAATTCTCACTTTCTACCTAAAATTACTTTAAAATAAGATACTTTTAAACTTTTTAAAGTATTTAAATTTTTTTTGGGTATCAAATATATGTATTAAATTGGGCCTAGACAGCGGCCTTAATGGCCTATGCCTAGGGCCGGTGCCGGTTTTGAGTTGGGCTTAGGGTTTGCCTATAAAATGAAGGACTCTCTCCCTTCGTACTACCTCGTTCGTCTTCTTTGGCTCCCGAGTCCTGACGGCAAGCTCTCGTAGCCATGGTTCACGTCAGCTTCTACCGCAACTGTAAGAGTCCCCCCACTCTCTCTCTCCAAATATAGTATGAGTTTGTATACTGACAAATACCATGATCTATACTCCTTTTTCAATTAAGTTGTAAATTTCGAGTATTGATATCCGTTTTAGGAATCGTTCATGCATGAGTATTTATCTTGGATGTTTGAAGCTTTGCAAGTTGTGCATTAGCCTGGATCATGCTTTGATCCGAGACTGTCATGCCAGTACCTTTTTGTTTTTAAGATTCTCTGCTAATTGAAACGTGATTTTATTGACATTGTGTTTAGCGTTGTTGTAGCTTGTTTTGTTCATCATGTAATTGTTTACAATTGCTGGAATTCTCTAACAGTATGTTTAGTTGCTGAGAGAACTGATGAAAATAAACGAAAATAGTAGTGTGAGATTAATAATGTCATCTTTGGTTCTGGAAATTGAAAAAGTAATAACAGTTCACGTAGCTAGGCCGAATGACTGTATATCTATGTGATTGGAGGCTTAGGTTTTCTAGCCTTCAATTATTGAGAAACTTGGGATCCAAAATCTTCCCTAATTTCCTTCATTTTCTCAGCNTCGAAATTGAAAAAGTAATAACAGTTCACGCAGCTAGGCCGAATGACTTTATATCTATGTGATTGGAGGCTTAGGTTTTCTAGCCTTCAATTATTGAGAAACTTGGGATCCAAAATCTTCCCTAATTTCCTTCATTTTCTCAGCTGGAACATATTTTTAATATGTTATCATTATATGCCGCTGACTACATAACTAGGTTTAATTCTTCTGAAATTAAATTTGCTTGTTAACTGGTCTCTTCCTTTCAATTTAAGAATTGGTTGGGGATGCCTGGTCATATTTTGCTGTGTTATATTTTTATTTGCTAGTCCGTGTGTAAAGTCATTTTGCTGGGTGGTTATAGATGGGAAGACATTCAAGAAGCCTCGTCGTCCNGCTGGGGATGCCTGGTCATTTTTTGCTGTGTTATATTTTTATATGCTAGTCCGTGTGTCAAGTCATTTTGCTGGGTGGTTATAGATGGGAAGACATTCAAGAAGCCTCGTCGTCCATACGAGAAGGAGCGATTGGATGCTGAGTTGAAGCTGGTTGGAGAGTATGGGCTTCGATGCAAAAGGGAGCTGTGGAGGGTGCAGTATGCCCTCAGTCGCATCCGTAATAATGCGAGGATGCTTCTCACTCTTGATGAGAAAGACCCACGTCGAATATTTGAGGGTGAGGCCCTTCTTCGCAGGATGAACAGGTATGGGCTTTTGGATGAGAGCCAGAACAAGCTCGATTATGTCTTGGCTCTGACTGTGGAGAACTTCCTTGAACGCCGGCTCCAAACACTAGTCTTTAAGACGGGTATGGCAAAATCAATTCACCATGCTCGTGTGCTGATTAGGCAGAGGCATATCAGGTATATATTCAATGATTGCTCCTAATGTGCCTTAAATCACTGTTAATGTTTGTTTGGATTTTTGTGCAGCTTATGCCAGTAGTCCATATGGTTACTGTTTTTTCTTTTTTCATGCAATCTCTCGACTTTTTGGTCTTAAAACTAGGTGACTTAGCGGCAAAACCTTTTACTGCTTATAATCCCTGGGTGGGATAGGCAGGGCTTTAGTGGATTCTCACTAGAATAAGGATTGTAGCTTATTGACCCAGATTGAATTCCAAGAATTATAAACATATAACCAGTTGCTTCTCAGTTTACTTGCTTTGGCACTCTTGACTAGGACTATAGATGCTGATATTCCAACACACTCAACCTGGATAACAATATGCTTTACTATTTTATTGCTGCAAAACACCTGCAAGAATATGGAACAATAATAAGCCATTCTTCAAAATAGAATATGTATAGTGCCTTGAGTATAATTATTTCCCACAAACTTAAGTATCTACTTGCTTGTGGCTGTTTAGTATAACTGCCAATTCTTGAAGCTTAAGGTTGGAACTTGGAACTTTGCTTTCAGCCTTCGGGATCACACTATACCCTGGATAGTGGATTGGCTACATCTGAATTAATTGTTTCTGGATGCGTATAGAACTCTATTTTAAATGTGTTAGGTGGACTTTTTTACATTGCCTAGTGGTTGTGGCAGAATGTATTGTTTTTTAGGGGCTGCACAGTACTGAGGTGAGGTCACGTGCACACCCAGATATATTAGTCTGCTTGATGCGCAATAGTTTACAGCATTGCAAAAGCAGGAAGATGGAATCGAGAGTGTGATTAAAATGATTTTTTTTTTTTTTTGGGAAAGGGGTTTGGGTTCTTTATGTAATTCTTCTATATCTTTTTTGTTCTTTTGTATTTTTCAGTTGAAAACAAAGAAACAATAAAATTCTGCTCCAATTGGAAATGGAATATTGACAGAGTCGCTGGGCTTGCGGTTATATAATGTGGCGTGACAGTGTCATTTCATTATTTGTTGAGATCCATTAGTACATATAGGGTCTTATTCCCAGTGATTGCATTTAATTCCTTGCCATAGATGATCCTAGGAGAATTCTGCTATGCATATTTCGTTGTTGTTTTGGTCTTTTCTGTNTGTCATTTCATTATTTGTTGAGATCCATTAGTACATATAGGGTCTTATTCCCAGTGATTGCATTTAATTCCTTGCCATATATGATCCTAGGAGAATTCTGCTATGCATATTTCGTTGTTGTTTTGGTCTTTTCTGTTATCAACTACTTGTATGTGAGATCCAAATATTATGACTTCTAATTACCCTATGTCAGGGTTGGGAGGCAGGTGGTTAATGTACCATCTTTCATGGNGTTATCAACTACTTGTATGTGAGATCCAAATATTATGACTTCTAATTACCCTATGTCAGGGTTGGGAGGCAGGTGGTTAATGTACCATCTTTCATGGTGAGGGTGGACTCACAGAAGCACATTGATTTCTCGCTAACAAGTCCATTCGGAGGTGGCCGCCCTGGAAGAGTGAAGCGAAGGAACCAAAAGTCAGCTGCCAAGAAAGCTGCTGGTGGAGATGGAGATGAAGAGGACGAGGAGTGATTTGTGCCAGTCCTAGAAATGTCTTGTTTTGTGTTTGAATTCTCACTATTACCAGCTTTCTTGCTGACTATGAATTTGAAAATTTTATTCCAGTAGATTTGGGTGCAAGTTTTTTGCGTTCATATTGATTAGAATATGACTGGTGTTTAAGATCAATATGACTGGATGCACTGGATGAACCTCTTTAAAATTGAGCAGTTTGTGGTACCNTCATATTGATTAGAATATGACTGGTGTTTAAGATCAATATGACTGGATGCACTGGATGAACCTCTTTAAAATTGAGCAGTTTGTGGTACCCTTCCATCCGTTTTCTGTCAACATCTCTTTTTGTAGCACAATTTTGGGCACTCGAGTTTGATTCTTTTGGTATTTTTCGGTTGCCAGCTCTTAGTTTTGGTTCTTTAAGCNGGGCACTCGAGTTTGATTCTTTTGGTATTTTTCGGTTGCCAGCTCTTAGTTTTGGTTCTTTAAGCAACAAAACGTGCCGCCCAAAAATATCCTACTTTTGAGTTTTAGCTCTCTATATGTGCCTTAGTTTGTCCGTGTTTGAAAATGTTACTGGTTTCTACTGCTATGCGGTCTGATGCATTGTGCAAGTATGTGGTTTAATCATTCTAAAGGGTTATTTTTGTTGCAAGATGATATTTCTTCATTCATCTCTTGGTATAAGTTCTCTTCATTAGGGCCTTTTGTATTAGGGTTGATAATTGAGTCGAGTTTTGTGAGCCCGAGCTGAGTTTTAAACGAACTTAAAAAATTATTTAAGTTTGACTCGTTTAAAAAATAAGTTGAGTTCAAAATAAGTTGAGTAAAAATAGTTTAATTATTTTACATATAAACAAGTTGAGTTTTTTAGGTTTATTTTTTAAACGAATCTAAAAAATTGTTAAAACTTGATTTATTTAGAACATAAATTAAATTCAAGTCGAGCCCGAGTAACTTGGTTCAATTATCTGCCTTACTTTATAAGATTCCTCAAATGACTTTGTATCACACGCTGTGCTATTCATCAAAAGACGTATCACATGCAAAATGATGTTGGGTTATCTTTATTACTAATAAGATAGGACTCATTTTGAATCTTTTTTTACTTTAAAATTTAATTTATTTGGAAAAGCATAAGAACGGCTCAGATTAAATCAACTTTTAATTCAAAGGCCCACATTTTCATCTCATTTCTTCCATTTCAATCCAATGGCTTGCAATGCATCTCAACCCAAAAAAAAAATCCCGCCCATTTTGAACCCAAACACACGCCAGCCCCAATTAAACCCTCTGCCCCTCTCTCTCTCTCTCTCTCCAATCTGCCATATTGCTGCCAGATTGTAAGTCCCCTATATTGCTGTACATTTTCCCCTATATTGCTATATAAAACACATAAGTCTCCTATACTGCTATGCATTTTCCCCTTAAAATCATCACATCACTCATTTCTATTACATGTTCAACCATTTAATATTTGATTAATTTATAATTTAACATAATTTTGTTAAAAAAATTTATCGAATTTCATATTTTGAGAAAATTTTGTCAATATCTTTAAAAAAATAATGGGTAAAAATAAATTTTGAATGATTTAATCAAATAAATAAATGAAAGAAAAATTATTATTTAATATAGGATATAGATTTTTTAAGACTCAAATTTTTTGTTCTATCGTGCCTTCAGGCACGGGTAATGACTAGTGTATAATATGGTATCGTTTGGTGGAGAACAACACTCAGAGCTTTGCCCCCTAACCTCTATTCAACAATTTGCAACTCTGTGGCATTTTTTGCTTGTTTCTTTCAAAGCCAAAAATAAGAATTGAGCCATGCTGGATTTATTTTGAAACTCATGTCGCTTTGAAATGTGTTTAATAAATACTTGATTTATTATTTATAGTTGTCTATGGTCGATCTCCTATTATGTTCAACATGAGTCATGGTGACCCATTTATTAAGTATATTTAATAGATTAATTTATATATGGTTCAATCACATAAAAATTAAATATGTATACTTTAAATTCATGCCTCAATTATAATCTTTTGAATCTACAAATCTCAAAATTAAAGAACGAACTCTTATGGTCGCCTCTATCTTTAAAGAGGTGTAAGCACCTTATTCCGTAGGCAATAGAATTCATTCACTTGTGTTTTAGTTTGATGCTTCAATCATGTATATACTGTTGAAGATGGAGAAACGTAAATCCTTGATCTGGAGTTTGATTCTCGTTGGACGTATCTAGCAGCAAATGTTTGACCAGCCACCATATGAATCTGCACGTGGAGTGTGGAGACCTTGTGACTTGTGGCCAGACATTTTCATGTTGCTGATTCAGGGCACGAAAAGAAAAGCCTTCAAATAATGGACTTTTGCACGGTATCGACCAAACAAATTCGGTATTATCAATTAAAATTTATTATTTTAATAAGTAATTTTATAATTTTTATAGGTCATTTCACAACTAAAAAAATTATTATTTTTGTAGATGTTTTGCCACTGTTAATATAATTATTTTTACCAAATTTTCTCAGTACAAAAAATATTATTACTTTTGTATGTTTTATTACCTTTTTTGGTACCACAACAGTAATAACAACATTCATAAATGTAGTAAAAAGACCCACAAATATAATAAAAATCGATACGATATTAAAAAATAAGTCCTCAAATAATTGGTCTCTTTTTCTTTTAAATGTGAAATTAGAAAAAATATTAAATGTAATTATAACCTCAATGAACAGGGATGAGAAAGAAATCATACCTTGATTTCGAAGAAAATTGATGTTAAAGTGTTTTATGTAATTCATATGTCTAGATCTCCTCAAGATCTAGTCCATTGGACCATTGGTCCTGCCTTTTCAATAATTGGGCAGTTGTTATTTCCCTTGAGGGCAAAAATTGGAGTAGTTCCAATCAATTGGAGAACGTGCCCTCTTATGTTTGTGACTCTTTGCTCAAACATTGTGTCCATAAGTATTGACATTTTTCTTATAAGGTGTAGATTTGATAATAGGATAATAAAATATTCAGGAATTATCAAAAAATCTCCCTCAGTATATGGTAGAATTTAAAAATGACGTATTGGGCATAGAAGACATCTTACTCGATGCTCTTCTTGTTGATATTGATGAGTTGAATGACGTATATATATATACTAGGGATAACCCATGCTTGAAGGCACGGTATAATTAAAAAAAAATTAAATATTGAATTTAAATGCAAAATAATCAAGCATTAAACTCGAACACGTACTAAATTGAACCCTATATCACTTATTTGAAAGCACTGTATATAGTTCTTAAACACGAAATAATCAAACAATAAATATAAACATGCATTAAGCTGAAAATTGTTTGGTCATTTTTAATGTCATGACTTTAGTAAAATAAAAAGGGTTAAAATGTGAATACTCTGTTTGAAAATATGATGTCACAAATATATCAACTTGTCTACAAAACTTATATATTTCAAAGTCCAAACTTATCTAATCACGACAACTCCTTTATAAAAAATAAATAGAAAAAACTCGTACCTGAAGCAGACATTGTGCAAACATGTGTAATACAAATATTTTCAATAAAATACAAATAGAATAAAGTTCAACTTTATCCATCTATGCATATATCAAATCCAACCGTCAATTCCAAATATACACATTTAATTAACATTCATATTAGCTCCCATATAAAAATTGCTACAACAAAAGTCTCAAATTCAAACAAAACTAAAACAAATCAAGGTAATTGGTTCAATTGATCTTGTACTTGTACCTATTAATTGTTACTAATATGTAGATAATTGAATCTTACTTTATTTAATAATTATATTACTCACCTTAAAAAATAGGATTTAGTTTATCTATTTATAAATTTATAATTAGATAATAATAGCGAAACTCATGATGTAATACCACGGTTATCGTGAAAATTTACTTGTGAAATTGGATGATCTTTCTCCAATTTTCCTAGCAACGTTACGTCATGGAATTAGGCAAAAATACGTATCCATGAGAAAAAGGTAATTTTGACTGGAGTTCAATATCAGATAACGAAACCTAACCGCGTTTCCAAACAAAAGCCACCACACCCCACACCACGTCACTTGTACACCAGTCTTCGTCCGTCCCGTAGGCACACTCAATTCGCATTACGTGGTCTTCATTTCATTCGCATCATCGCATGAGATTTCATCTGCCATACTGATTCCACTTGTACTCCATTACACTGTTATTGACATTGTCCGTTTGACAATGTCCAAAAGACTGATTTGACCCAACCCAGTCTCTAGAAAACCCTTTTTTAAAATTTTGGATACATCAAAAGGAATACCGAATACCGAATACGAATACTTTATTTATCACCCTGTAAAAATAAACATTATATGAGAATGGCAAAAAATTGTTCAGCTTTGGCTCGATATGGAGGTTTAACAAATACTCAATANTAATTGAATCTTACTTTATTTAATAATTATATTACTCACCTTAAAAAATAGGATTTAGTTTATCTATTTATAAATTTATAATTAGATAATAATAGCGAAACTCATGATGTAATACCACGGTTATCGTGAAAATTTACTTGTGAAATTGGATGATCTTTCTCCAATTTTCCTAGCAACGTTACGTCATGGAATTAGGCAAAAATACGTATCCATGAGAAAAAGGTAATTTTGACTGGAGTTCAATATCAGATAACGAAACCTAACCGCGTTTCCAAACAAAAGCCACCACACCCCACACCACGTCACTTGTACACCAGTCTTCGTCCGTCCCGTAGGCACACTCAATTCGCATTACGTGGTCTTCATTTCATTCGCATCATCGCATGAGATTTCATCTGCCATACTGATTCCACTTGTACTCCATTACACTGTTATTGACATTGTCCGTTTGACAATGTCCAAAAGACTGATTTGACCCAACCCAGTCTCTAGAAAACCCTTTTTTAAAATTTTGGATACATCAAAAGGAATACCGAATACCGAATACGAATACTTTATTTATCACCCTGTAAAAATAAACATTATATGAGAATGGCAAAAAATTGTTCAGCTTTGGCTCGATATGGAGGTTTAACAAATACTCAATACTGAAAATTAATCAAGAAATGAATAATTTTTTTACAATCATTCACCAAATTCTAACAATTAATGGGTAATTTTAGACATACAATTTTAAGATCAGCGAAATAAATTGAAAAAGAAAGTATATGAATTCTATGAATGGCATGGCATGGGCTGTCATTAGAATAACACAATTTTTGATTCTAAGATCTAATAATATGGTAGGTGATATATTTCAACATTTAACGATTATATTTCTAATAATATTAATTGTCACATCATCAAATTAAATATTTTTTAAAAATTAAATTTTATATTTCAATACTATTATGCTAAAAAAAATTTGTGAGATAATGCAACTATTCATTAAACATACACTCAACTAATAATATAAACGAGTTCTGAATTTGAATCTTGACAGGTCTATGAGATTAAGTCATGAAAGAGTTATCATTTACGAATATCCTAATTCTTTTATGCNTATAAATGAGTTCTGAATTTGAATCTTGACAGGTCTGTGAGATTAGGTCATGAAAGAGTTATCATTTACGAATATTTTAATTCTTTTATGCATAATTTATTTTTAATTAATTTAAAAATAAATTAATCAAAATATACGTAAATTAATTCAAATATCCGTTTAATAAAAAAAAAGGGGTATGAGAATTGTTACAAGAGGTGGAGACATCCGACGTGACGTGGCGTAAAACCAAACATCCAGACGGCTTAATTAGTTCCCAGATAAACGGCAACGGTTTGGACTGGTTAATTTTCTGACGATTTATTGCCACATGTCACAAATCAGTAAACAGCTGATAATCTGTCTCGCTCTGTACGTGGACACGCGTCGCCAACTGGAAGTGTCTTCGTTCACACAAAAAATGCGTAACCCACTTGAGATCCCAATTTTTTGACCACCTCACCACGCCATCGCATTCAATCTCCACCTACGCGTGTGTATATATATCCATTCACACACATACACGCATATCATGTTGGAAACGTTGCTTCGAACAAGACGATCATGGCCTAGTTCGTCAATGGTTTATATAAACTACGCCTTTCCTAATTTGCGCTGTTCACCGCCATTGTTTCTTCATCTTGTTCTTCAAGATCGTGTGTTATATCATATGTATGCACAATGACTGTAAAGCGAGTCGTCGCAAACGACGCTACACAGGATCAGAACAGCTATGTTTCTGATCTTGAGAAAGCGAAGGACTTGTCTTCACCGGAATTGATCTTGCATGCCGCAGTAAAGTTAGCCGGAAAGAAGTGTTCTGGTGGAGAAAGAGAAACTGAACCGATTATGTATGGAAAGACAAAGTCAGTTTGTGGAGAGCTGGAAACAGATCAAGAGAGTGCCGGATCGTCGGAGGAGATGGAGAGTCCGAAGTCGGTGGCGAGGTTTGGGAGGTGGAATGCGAAGGACATAAACGTGCATGTGCATAGCCAGATACTGAGGATCAGAGAGGAGGATTCGCATCTAGGAGAGGACGTCGGGGAATGTCTCGGTGCTAAAGATAAGCTCGCTGTTCACCACGTGGAGTCTCGTGTGGATTACATGCTGTTTTCAAGGCCAATTTTGCCTGCTTCGCCTCTCGGCGGCAAGACTACAATCAAGACTACGCACTGAATCAATCAAGGTTCGTCATGTTCCTTTTCTTCATTGATTGTCTTTTCATACAGTGTACACATATCACTTGCCTAAAATTTCCAGATACAAGAGTATACATATTATGTATATGACACGGCTTGAGACGATTTCTTGATTTAAGTTGTTTTATTTATTATGAATCTTGATTTTTACCATGTGTTGTTGATGAAATTTCCTACCGGTCTTTTTCTCCTTACAATTATTGGATTCTGATCCTAGTGTCCTTGAATTTGATATTCCACTCTGTTTTTAGAAACTTCAAAATTTTATTTTCCTAATTCTCTTTTTGATTTTTCAGTAAAACAAATATATACGTACATACACGGTACACGCGTCTGTTCGAACATTCACGAGGATCACATGGTCTCAAATCTTAATTATTTGAGGCTCTATCACGTGAATCTTGAGAACTTCTTATATAAGTAATAGTTTCCAGATTTTGATGTGTCGGTTGTATCCTAATAAAGTGGGTTTATTTTAACGATTGTACGATTCATTTCTAAATATGATTTAAGATTAACCATCGTATTGTATAGAGTAATGTTATATGATCTAATCTCGAAACCTTTACAAGACTTGACTCAATTATTTGTGAGTTTTAAGTTACATTCAATCTAATAGTTGTAATTGATTAGGTCATTACATTATGTCTCAAAAATTGGTCCAAATAATATTTTCCTATGGTATAACCGATATAATTTTTTTATTTTTTATTCCGAGTAAGAGTATAAAATGTGACCATAATCAACGCATCTTATAAATAATATGTGAAGGGGGGTCAATTTGGATTCTATTCCATTTCTGCAGGAGCACATACAGATCATGTTTGCAAGCAAAGATGTCCGGACAGGTGGGAGAGTTCATGGAGTTGGTCTTAGCTTGGATCTTTAGTCACTTTTTTATTTTCTTTTTTTTAGGAACAGGACCCGAAAAGTAAGGCATGTAGAGGGGAAGAGGAGGTCCGAGAGTCATCAGTAAGTGCTGATGTATGTACAGTTAAGGAAGTATGAGCTAATGAAGAAACCAAATATGCTCCNAGTTATCAGTAAGTGCTGATGTATGTACAGTTAAGGAAGTATGAGCTAATGAAGAAACCAAGTAGACTCTTTTTGCTTATTAAAATGGTACCCCTTTTGTATCAAGACAGAAACACTTGTTGACAAAGGGAAGTAATATATCTCCAGCTCTCATCAGCTAAATTGAAATCTGCAATATTCTGGACGAAACACCTTTTTTCAACATTACTGAAATTTCTGTGGCTCAGCTCAAAATAAGTTGTGGCCTTTTGATGTGTTGCATCCCAAAATTTCTCCATTATATTTCCAGGAATCTTACACGAATGGGATGGATGTTAGAACTTCTTCAAATTACTTGGGACTTGACCCACAACAGCCGCCAAACATAAGTGGCACTAGGCCAATAATGCGAAGGTGTTTGTATAGTTAGGCTTCAGCTCAGTTCAATCAAACAATCTTGCGACTGGGTGGCGGCCTATAATGCTTGCTTCCCCCTCCCCCCCCTCCTCCTTGCCATTCATGAGAGGCGATCATGGATTCTCATTGTTGCTGGGCTATGAGCATGTAAGGTCACCTGTGTATTAACATTTTCATTCATAACTGCGACATCACCGCCAATTAGGGGACATAACATATCAGATTCCGAGTCCAGTGATTCCTCCAAATTTATGGATCAAAACTCTTTATTCCCATTAGTAATTCTCAATAATGGACGACATTCACAAACAATCCAATTATAAAACTTGGTTATTAGTTATTACTACATTATTGTTCTATTTTTAGCACTTCTTGATAGACACATTTGATGATTTAACACAGACAGCAGAGAATTCAAATCTTTAATATGATGACAATCTTTAAAGTTTCTTGTGTTATCATCTTCACTAATAATCTTACAACGCAACATTAGCTTTAAAAAAAACGAAAATTTCAGCAATCAAGGAAATAGTTGGACCGGTAATACTTCTTGTCACAACTCCAACAATCAATTTTTTTTTTTGGGAGGGGAAAAGGGAAAAAGAGAGAGAACTTGAACCCTTGACATCAACAACACAAAGTAACACATAAGATAATGAGACGAAAGGCCCATTGTTTCCAACATCATTCACTTGACAATTTCTACATAAAATAACCTTGAAGCAAGATATGCAGAACATGAAATTTTGATTAGAACAGAGTTGTAGCAACAACATAATTCGAAACATCATAAAGCAGCAACAACCTAATTCCAATTAGCTACAATCTAAACAATAGCTTTCATATAACCAGACCAGATTCAGACCAATAACACCATTCGCTACACATTTCAACACAAAACAAGTAGTTTTCTCCACTGCAATGTCTAGTACCCATCACCTTCATCTTCCTCTCCTTCAGCAGACTCTGCCCCAACTTCCTCATAATCCTTTTCGAGAGCAGCCAAGTCTTCCCTAGCTTCCGAAAACTCTCCTTCTTCCATACCCTCGCCCACATACCAATGCACAAATGCACGCTTTGCATACATCAAATCAAACTTATGATCAATCCTAGAAAACACCTCGGCAACGCTAGTTGAGTTTGAGATCATGCAAACAGCCCTCTGGACCTTAGCCAAGTCACCACCAGGCACCACCGTAGGTGGTTGATAGTTAATACCACACTTGAACCCAGTTGGGCACCAGTCCACAAACTGAATGGTCCTCTTGGTCTTGATGGTGGCCACCGCTGCGTTCACGTCCTTAGGCACCACATCACCTCTGTACATCAGACAACAAGCCATGTACTTCCCATGACGTGGATCACATTTCACCATCATTGAAGAGGGCTCGAAAGCAGTGTTAGTGATTTCTGCAACAGAGAGTTGCTCATGGTATGCTTTTTCTGCGGATATGACCGGTGCATATGAAGAAAGCATGAAATGAATTCTTGGGTATGGCACCAAATTGGTCTGGAACTCATTCACATCCACATTCAATGCGCCATCGAAACGCAGAGACGCTGTCAGCGAAGAAATGACCTAATCATAGAGAAATAGTCTCATTAAACAGATAAAACCCAAGGTTCGTATACAAAATTTTGAAACGAAAAACAGAATTATAATTACATACCTGAGAGATCAGCCTATTTAGATTGGTGTAGGTGGGTCTCTCAATATCAAGTGATTTGCGACAGATATCGTAAATTGCTTCGTTGTCAAGCAGTACTGCAACATCAGTGTGCTCGAGAAGGGAATGAGTTGAGAGGACAGAGTTGTAAGGTTCAACCACAGCTGTGGAGACCTGTGGAGATGGGTAAATGGTGAACCCAAGCTTCGATTTCTTCCCGTAGTCCACAGAAAGCCTTTCGAGAAGCAGAGATCCAAGACCAGAACCAGTCCCCCCACCAACAGCATGGAAAACCAAGAAACCCTGAAGCCCAGTGCAGTTATCAGCGAGCTTTCGAATACGATCAAGGCACAGATCCACAATCTCTTTCCCAACTGTACAAAATAAACATTCCATTTTTTTTGCAAATCACCAACAAAAATAAGAGAATTAGAAAAAAAATAATAAAAAAATCAAGGGTTCAAACGGAGGGTAGATTTGCTTACTTGTGTAGTGGCCTCTTGCGAAGTTATTGGCTGCGTCTTCTTTGCCGCTAATGAGTTGTTCCGGGTGGAATAGTTGTCGGTACGTCCCGGTCCTTACTTCATCTATGACAGTGGGTTCTAAATCAACGAAGATGGCGCGAGGAACATGCTTTCCGGCTCCAGTTTCGCTGAAGAAGGTGTTGAAGGCGTCGTCTCCACCACCAACCGTTGTGTCACTGGGCATTTGCCCATCAGGCTACACAGATTAAAGCACCCAAAAGTCAAATCAATTAGGAAACCCATTAAACAATTACTCTTTCGTGTTATATTTAGTTTCAAATCAGAGAAAATTAGTGCTTTGTGGTGGAAAATTTGAAAGAAATTTTAGATACAGACCTGAATTCCATGTTCGAGGCAGTAGAGCTCCCAACAGGCGTTTCCGACCTGAATACCAGCCTGACCAATGTGGATTGAAATGCACTCTCTCATTTTCGATTAGGCGATGTTGTTGGCAATGGCGTTCTTTGATAGATAGACAAGGAGAGAGAGGAAGGGAGAAAGAGAGACCAAATAAGGCAAAGACGTATACAAAGACGTCTCTGGAAAAGATGTTAGAAATTGTAGATCTGAGAGAGACTGAATGGATGGTAGAGAAGGGTTTGTGGAAGAAAGAGACTAAATATAGGAGGTGTTCATTGAGGTACGCGTTTGAAACGGTTACAAAAATTTTGAAATTTGAATGTTATCCCAGCTGGTTTTGGACCGTTGGCGCTCACTTTACTTTGACAGGTTTGAAATTTAAACATTCATTCTACGGTAAATTACATTTAATTTTATTACACGGACACCCCTTCATATTTTTAAAATAATACCGAATTCTCTTGACATTTAATACTTCTAACAATCATACCCTCTCTAACTAACGGACGTTAGAATTATTTACAGTCAAAGCTAATGTCATCAACAATAATTCCTAAAATACCAAAAATACCCTCCAAATTACGTTTAAGAATTAAAATAAATATTTTTCTTACCTTACAAATTTACCTAACATCTTATTTATTTTTTTAATCTATATATTTCATATATAAATTAAAATTTACAATTTAACACTAAAATGCTTAATTTTTTAATCTATTACATTAATAAGTTAATTTTTTTTAAAAAATTTCTGTATTAAATAATATTTGGGATTGTTAGTATAGTTTAAAAATTAATCATTTTTTAAAAAATCTTAATAATTACCTATCAAATTATACTACATTATTTTTATATATTTAATTACATAAATTTTTACTCTTATCACCCATCACCACCGGTTTTACCATCTAAACCCCCCAAAACTTCCAAACCCAACCAAACACACTATCACCACCAACGCACAGAGAGAGATAGAGAGAGAGAAGAGACTAAAACCAACACTTTCTCCACCGCCCGGACCAAATCCATCATCAACCAACACCATTACATTGTAAAGGGTAGGGTTTCAACCACCATTTGCAAAATTCACCCATTATCACCAGTTCCACCACCTAGGATATCAATCACAAAAAGATAGGAGAGAGATAAAGATCACAAATCTTAGGTATCGATCACCTAAAGATTGCTCGTTGCGCTACTGGGTATTGGTGGAAATAGGCGACGGTAGTGGGTGGGGTGGATTTTGAAATTCGACGACGACGGGTGCTGGTGAAAATTGACAACGGTGGTTGCATTGCTAGCACTGCTAGGTAAAGATCGTTTGTTGTGCCGTTGGGTTTGATACATCTTGAGAGAGAGAGAGACAATGGGGGTTAGAGAGAGAGATATGTTGGGGGCTTTGAGAGAGAATGTGAGTGTGTGCGCGCGCGTATGGGGGAGGGGGTCAGTTTTCAGGGGAGGGGTCTTAGGTGTTGGATCTAGGGTGTGCCGTTAATGACATTCATTTTGTGGGGTCAGTGTAATTTTGAAAAAGTGAAGGGGTGTCTGTCTAATAAAATCAAATGCCAAGGTGTGTTAGTGTAATTTACCCAATATTCTAAGATATGATTTTAAATTTTTTTTAAATATTCTCTTAATGGAGGGTTGACCTATATTTAGGGGTCATAATTACTCCGACAACTTGATTTACAATTAATGCGAAATTAGTGAGTTAGAGTTTATCACCCCTAAATATGAATTAGTGTCTAAGCAAGAACAATACGAAATTAACATTATTAACTAATATTATAGAAATAAAATGTTAATTATTTGTTATTGTTGATCAAATATTGATGTCATTATTGTACAAAAATGACTTTTTTACTCACTTTTATTGTCATGTTTCTTAAATTAATTTTTAGTTTATATAAAAAGAATGAACATGAATTTAATTAAGTGATAATAAAATCTTAAACTAAAATCTTTGTGTTAAATTATTTATTCACGTGCTATAAATGGGTCAACACAAATATGATACGAAAATAAATAGGTTAGATCGATACAGTACGATTAGTGAAATGAATTAGATTAAGATTCACCAGTGCTCGACATGAATCCATAATGATTTGACACGATTGTCACTCTTACTCATATTCATATGTGAACCGACTACTGAACGGGTCAGGTTACTTGGGTTATAGAAATGGATCATTTCTGGACCATGGGAGCTCGGATGCAGTCCAATTATAAAGCATAACCATGATGGAAACATACCTTATTTATGGTTGAATTAAGCGTCACCATGCAACTTGAATAATGTCAAAGGAAAATTTTCTACCCTATTGAAGCAAGTTAGAAATAACCAAAAAAAAAGAAGAAGAAGAAAGTTAGAACCGATGATATCAAGTTTATGTTTTAATAAAATCAGAGTTTCTACTCAACGAGATCTAAAATATGAGATTTAAGCCAACAAAATTACAATCAATTCTCATGTTTTGTGGGCGATTCTAAATCAAGCTCATTTACTCGTGAATAGATTAAACAACACACATAAGAAAAGACGAAAGTATTGAACAAAGAGTTTCAATTACCGGTCATTACTGATTAAAAATAGGGAAATTTAGAAGTTGATTTTATTTTGCAGATTTATTTGGTAATAAGTCTATCAAGGAAACTTATTTAATATTTGTGAAAATTGAGACTGAGTTGTAATGAGTTTAGTCAGCGAAAATTTATTTGAGTGTAAGTTTATTTATAATTTTACTAATAAGTAGTTAAGTTAAATATTTTTTTCAAACTCTAAAATGCCCTTCTAATGACTTAAAAACAATCTTCAACATTAAATCAATTTCCTAAACAATCTTCATTGATTCACACTTAATGAAAGTTTTTTTTCCATAAAATCTGAAATTTAAATTTAAATTTGACATCACTATTATTTCTCTCTCTCTCTCATCTTTTTTTGTTGAGAAGACTGCGGTTAATTTAATATTGAATGTTACTATGCATGTTACTATTTTTTTTTGTGCATGTTATTATTTTTTATTGAGTATGTTACTATTAATATTGAATGTTATTATTTTTTATTGAATATGTTACTATTAATATTGAATGTTATTATTTTTCTGAAATATGAATATTCAATGTTACTATTGTTATTTTTTTTTTCAAATGTTACTATTTTTTTGTTTTGAAGTGATATTATTTTTTTGTGTTTAAGTGGTATATATATATATTATGAAGTCTGTTTTTTGTTAATTTTACCAGATTATCTCTTCCATGTAAAGGTGAACTAAAACTAAAAATTAAAAACTTTTAAATTTTAAGAGTTTGATTAACGTTAAAAAAATTTCTCTCATATTTATCTATATTTGTATATAGGTTAGGATTATATATATATATTAAAAAAAATAGTAACATTTAAATACAAAAAAAATTATTATTTAAACACAAAAAAATAGTAACATTTAAATACAAAAAATTTGTATCATTTAAAAATAAAAAAAAATAGTAACATTCAATATTAATATTTTAAAAAATAACAATAGTAAAATGTTCAATAAAAATAGTAATATACTTAACAAAAACAGCAACATGCTAAAAAAAAAAAAGTAATATGGAACATTGAACAAAATTAAAAATAAAAATAGTAGCATTCAAACTCATAACTAGATAAAAAAGTCTCTAATTATTCGACATTCAAAAAAGTAATACTGAAAAAATAATAATATGTTGAATAAAAAATAGTAACATGGTAAATTATAAAAAATAGTAACATGATTAATAAGAAACATAGTAATATGAAACATTAAAAAAAATTGAAGATTATTTATCAAAAAAATAAAAATAAAATTGGGGATCAAATTAATAATACATTAAGCAAGTTTTTCAATTATTTTTTTTTCAAAACCAACGTAGTAGAAGATATGGTAGTTATTGATGATGTTCTAAACCCTACTGATTTTGATGCTATATAGGAGGAAATGATAAAAATTTGTTATACTGAAGTGATGATCTTCTTTAACGAGAGATTGAGAGAATATAAATTCGAATTTCAATTTATAAGTGAATTAAGAGATAATATTTTCTAATTTAATAAATTAATTTAAAGTTATTTTCAAGGTCTTTAATTTAATATTTTTATAATTCAACAGAATAACACTATTAATAGTATTTTTGATATTTAAAAAAATAATAGGTTTAAGTACTTATTATTAATATAACTTATCACCAAACAAGTTTTCTTAACGGACTTAATTTATTATTCAAATCTATATAAGAGGATTTAACCCCAATTTTTACTATTATTAATTTCTTTTTTATTTGTATTAATGGGTACAACATCAAATCAAATGCAAATGTAAACTAATCGTGGATGTGCCAATTCTTAAAAATATGACGTCATTTTTTTTTTGGTACAGAAGCCGTCTCCATTCACATACATGTGTCCTGGTGTCATCAAAATTTCCTTGTGACAAGTGACGTCGGTCGACAAAAGCATTGATATTTAATTTCTTTGCCTCATTTAGTAATCCCTTTCACAAATAATAAGGGTACTAGGCCACGTGTTGTGTCGTCGACGGACACGAAAGGGATGTGACATGAAATCTGACAATCAAGTTTGCCACACCTCTCGTGGTTATGTCCCTAACAAGGAGGAAGCTACAATTATTAGACCCATTCATTTTCCTTGGTTTACTACGGTGGTGAACATTTTTTGATGTAATTCAGACAGCTTGATTCTATCTACTTCAATATAATTCAACTACAAAACATTCAATCCGAATCCTTACACACCAAACATTTGGTTTTGGCTTCCTTCAATTCATATTACCTTCTCGGGTTATACAATTTAGTTTGAACCAAAATTTATTAAATTCAATCTGTGTGTGTCGAGTTTGGGGGTCATAAATTTTTAATCGGAGTATTAACCCATTATAAATAAAATTACAACTTTGGTAAAAAAAAGTTACANAAGTTTTTCAATTATTTTTTTTTCAAAACCAACGTAGTAGAAGATATGGTAGTTATTGATGATGTTCTAAACCCTACTGATTTTGATGCTATATAGGAGGAAATGATAAAAATTTGTTATACTGAAGTGATGATCTTCTTTAACGAGAGATTGAGAGAATATAAATTCGAATTTCAATTTATAAGTGAATTAAGAGATAATATTTTCTAATTTAATAAATTAATTTAAAGTTATTTTCAAGGTCTTTAATTTAATATTTTTATAATTCAACAGAATAACACTATTAATAGTATTTTTGATATTTAAAAAAATAATAGGTTTAAGTACTTATTATTAATATAACTTATCACCAAACAAGTTTTCTTAACGGACTTAATTTATTATTCAAATCTATATAAGAGGATTTAACCCCAATTTTTACTATTATTAATTTCTTTTTTATTTGTATTAATGGGTACAACATCAAATCAAATGCAAATGTAAACTAATCGTGGATGTGCCAATTCTTAAAAATATGACGTCATTTTTTTTTTGGTACAGAAGCCGTCTCCATTCACATACATGTGTCCTGGTGTCATCAAAATTTCCTTGTGACAAGTGACGTCGGTCGACAAAAGCATTGATATTTAATTTCTTTGCCTCATTTAGTAATCCCTTTCACAAATAATAAGGGTACTAGGCCACGTGTTGTGTCGTCGACGGACACGAAAGGGACGTGACATGAAATCTGACAATCAAGTTTGCCACACCTCTCGTGGTTATGTCCCTAACAAGGAGGAAGCTACAATTATTAGACCCATTCATTTTCCTTGGTTTACTACGGTGGTGAACATTTTTTGATGTAATTCAGACAGCTTGATTCTATCTACTTCAATATAATTCAACTACAAAACATTCAATCCGAATCCTTACACACCAAACATTTGGTTTGGGCTTCCTTCAATTCATATTATCTTCTCGGGTTATACAATTTAGTTTGAACCAAAATTTATTAAATTCAATCTCTGTGTGTGTCGAGTTTGGGGGTCATAAATTTTTGATCGGAGTATTAACCCATTATAAATAAAATTACAACTTTGGTAAAAAAAAGTTACACTCGATTATATATTATAAATATTTGTCTAAGTATCGTATATTTTGAATTGAATTTGAGTAGTAATCGTATAAAACCACCCAAGTTTCACCCATAGTCACATGTAATCAAGTATTTTCGATCACGTGTCAAAGAAACGGACATGTGCGAAGTCATGTGATCAATAGGTCGTCACAGGTTATTGTTTGGTTGGTAGGAAAGTGTTGTGCTATTGTCATGTGATAATGCTTGAACTTTTTATGCCATTGGAAAATTGTATAATATAATCTTGAAATCTTATAGCATGTTTGATTTGGGTCTTAAAAAATAGCATTAAAATTATTTTTGGGAAGAATTTTATTAAAAAAGTATGTTTTTATACTTTTTGTATCACAGAAATGTGGTGTACATGGTGGTGGAAGAATGGTGGTGGTAGTTGTGTTTTCTAAATTCTAAAAATGTTGTTTTAAAAAATACACAAAATAGTTTTAATTTGTTTTATAAATTTACCCAGTTTTTATTCTCAATTTTCAAAAAATCAAAGGAAAAATTTCAGGCACACCCCTCCTAGTTTACTATATCTTCAAGGACATCCCATCGATTATAAAAAGTATCACTNTATGCCATTGGAAAATTGTATAATATAATCTTGAAATCTTAGAGCATGTTTGATTTGGGTCTTAAAAAATAGCATTAAAATTATTTTTGGGAAGAATTTTATTAAAAAAGTATGTTTTTATTCTTTTTGTATCACAGAAATGTGGTGTACATGGTGGTGGAAGTATGGTGGTGGTAGTTGTGTTTTCTAAATTATAAAAATGTTGTTTTCAAAAATACACAAAATAGTTTTAATTTGTTTTATAAATTTACCCAGTTTTTATTCTCAATTTTCAAAAAATCAAAGGAAAAATTTCAGGCACACCCCTCCTAGTTTACTATATCTTCAAGGACATCCCATCGATTATAAAAAGTATCACTGACACCATTTCTAGTTTATATTTAAATATCACTAATATCCCTTACCATTAAACTACCTTTTCTAACAAATTTTTTTTATATAAAATACCAAAAATGCCCCTACATAAATTTCAAGTAATTTTTTTACATAAAATTTTTATTAAAATTTGATCCAATTAAAATTAATTTTTTTACATATTAAAATTTGAACCAACTAAAATTCAATTAAAGCTGATTAAATTTTATTTTTTTAAATGTATTAAAATTTAAGCCGATTTGAACTTTACCCGAGTTGTTAGCGCTGATTAAAATTTACTTTCGAGTCGATTAAAATTTATATTTTTTTACTTATTAAAATTTGTGTAAATTAAAATTTGATTTATTAAAATTTGAGTCAATTAAAATTTATATTTTTTTTATGTATTAAAATTTGGGTGATTAAAATTCAATACGAGTTGATTAAAATTTGATTTGAGTCGTTTAAAAATAATTTTTAATTGGCTCAAATAGAATTTTAATTAACCCAAATTTTAATACATAAAAAATATAATTTTTAATCGACTCAAATTTTAGTATGTAATGAATCGAATTTTAATTGGTTCGAAGTTTAATACGTAAAAAAAAATTAGAAAACAGAAGGGGTCTCATTGAGGATATGCTTATCTAGAGAGGGTGTGGATGAAGTTTGTTCTCAAATATATCATAAACAATTTAATAAAATTACATTCTAATTAATATTTTTAATCTAATAGGGGTGTTTTGAAGATTCAAAAAATAGAGGAAATATTTTTAAAGATATGATAAACTAGAGAGAGTATAGTTGAAATTTTCTCAAAAACAAAAATTAAAAACAAACGGTCAAACAACTTTTCTTTCTTAAACTATTTTTGAAAACAAAAAATAGTATCTAAGATGCAAATCAAACAAAATTTTAATTCTAGGACTTGCATGTCAACAACACAGTATATACTAGTAGTTTTATAAGAAGGAAAATCATCTAGCGAAGTGCAAGTTGCAAATAAACCTTTTTACCAAATAATCCAATTCATTCGACTGACAGGTGCCATGTTTTCTATCAATTATCTCTCAAGTTCAGAGCTAAATCCCTTTTTTCTAATGGTAGACCATTCATCGTAACTTGTAAATGACAACCAGCCACGTTGAAAATTTTAAAAAAAAATTAAACTTAAATTCATATCGTGTGATTTATCATCTAAAGAAATTAAGAAAGAAGGGATCCAATTCTTTCCGATACCGCTACAACAAAAAAATTGTGTATTGAGTAGGATTTTTTTAATCAATCCCAACAAGCCATGATATAGCTTGTGTGGAAAATAATGATATTTACAATGCATATGAAGTGTGGTTCATATGACTAACACCTCCACGAATTTAGTACAGTTATACATGTGACCTTCTGTTATTCTGTTACTGCAAATTGCATTCAGAGGCTGTAATTAGGGAAGCTGAGTGTCCAATGATCACATGATCTTGTATATTGAGACACCCACATAAAAGGCCCACTTTGTTAGTACAAAAACAAACACACTTCTTTAAGACCACTTGAGATCAAACCCCAAGTTGGGAACACACAGAAATTAAAGCATGCCCAATCTCTTTCTCACTCTCTCTAATATAAGCACCCTAGTCCACAGCTTTCTTCCATGCACTTGTCTTCTTCACATCCAACATCACTGTCTATGTTTCTGTACTCTCTCTCTCTCTCTCTCTCTGTGTCTTGTGGTCCTTGCTCTTCTCATAACTCTTATTAATTTCTTCGTACTCTGTATCTTGCAGTGGTATATCTTTGCTTCTTCTTCTTAAGGTCTTCACATTTTCTCCATTGAAGTCTCTCTTTTTCTCACACTTAAGCACCTTTTTAGAATATAATATAATCAACAGAGACGTAAAAGACCATATTGAGAGGATGTCTAGCAGAAGGTCGAGACAGTCGACGGAGACTTCAGGGATCACAGACAATCAGATCAATGATCTTGTCTCCAAGTTGCAGCAAGTTCTTCCTGAGATTCGAAATAGGCGCTCCAACAAGGTATACTTCTTTTCTATGTGTTCGTGAAGTTGTGTTTGTTTGTGTGTATAACTGTATATGGATATAGTATGCATTAAGTGTATGTTGAATACTCATCTCATTCAATCTAAAGTGTGTATATTATATTATGAACCTAGTACATAGAGATCTTTGTAATTATCAGGTGACGCACGAAATTCAAATACGAAATTTCCGGCTCTGATGTCATATTGAACAACTATTTCATACAACAACTTAAACTGTTTAAGAGTAAATGTAATTCAAGTATTTATGCTTCACCAAAGCATGCACTCACTTGATGTAATAGGCATATCTCATTGTTTTGAAACAATGAGCGAGGGACAAGTTTGGACGTCTTAAGTTCAATTCTAACAAGCTTTATATATAATACTCGTGTTTAATCGATATATAACGTGTATGTGAGATTAATGTAATTGTCATATGAACAAAAAACACGAATAATATTTGAAATCATTACATGGTATCAACAAAATATGCATATACAACTTACAAGTGAATTATGTTGTCACCAGAAAGTACTGCCCGATGGTGTTTTGTAGTTTGACCCCTACATTAGGTAATATTCATTATGGAAAATGCTATTCTCCTTCTCAACTATAGCACTCCATCTCCAACAAAATCAGACAATGGAATTCGAATTCTTTAACGATCGGAAAAAAAAAAAAAAAAAAGAAAATTTTGAGGAAGTCATCTATCTATACATCTCATATATAAATCATACATTTTCTATACATGTGAGTGTAAATAATATAAAATAAAGGCCACTTAAAAATCCTTTAAAAAGTTATCAAATACCTTGTCTCTCCTAGAAGATGGTCGATACAGAATGTGATACCTAGCTAATGAAATATATATGTTCTTTCGTAGGCGTCAGCTTCTAAGGTTCTACAGGACACCTGCAACTACATTAGAAATTTGCACAGAGAGGTGGATGACCTGAGCGACCGACTGTCCCAGCTATTGGCCACCATAGATTCCGATAGCCCGGAGGCCGCCATTATCAGAAGTTTAATTACTGAATAAGCTCTTAAGAAGCACTATATATGCAAGTGCTTCTTCTTCTTTTAGGGTTTGTTGGGTCAGTAGGCCTATCAATATTAAATGCTTATCTATTATAATGGTGATCAGATGTTCCCTTTGGGCATATGTGCTGTGAGTAAGTTGCATAATAAAAGGCTTGTACTTGGCATCCTATTATATATAGTGTTTTGCTACTAAGATTGATCCAATGATTTCATGTTAAAAACTTCTTGGCATTGATGGGTTTATCATAAGCAGTATTAAGTTAAGGATAATGTCATAAACAGTCCCACAATCTGATATGGGGTGGGTTTATGATTCAGATCGCCCAAAATTTGAGCTCCAAATTATAATTCTAACCACAAATAAACTCATGATAGATATAAGTAATCTCACATCACAACCTCAACCTCAAACCATGACTCTAACTTTTTTATTTCTTTATTTTAGGGTTCTTTAAACTCATATTTTGACAATAATTATTAGAAATATAAAATGATTGTTTGTTTAACTAGAATGGATGTATTATTCTATATAAAAATTACAGAACAAATCGCGATCAAAAATAGTTTATCAACAAAATCTATCCTCAATGTACCACGTATTCAATTGACCCATGATCCAGATAAATATTGGGTTGACCGTCCCAATAGCGGCTCATTGTCATTTGAATTCTTAATTTGATCTCAAAATTTGATCAACGTAGTATTAGTGTTGCAGTGGTTACATCCATGGGTCATGATATTAGCCCATTACTCGCGGCGAGGTAGTCTAGCCGTCTAAGTGTCTCATGGTGCACATCTCTATTGATGAACACTTCTTGCTTTGGACAAGGCTAAGCCTCATGAAACGGTATGTTGGCCCATGGGTTGGCCTGTGCTTTTGGCGGCTTGATAGCCCAATGGTTACATTCACGGATCATGATTTTAGCCCACTACAATGTCAAATATGAAAATAGGGTTATTAGAACCGGACCGGTCCAATGTAGACCGTTAAAGGTTTATCAGGCCTTGTCCGATGGCTTGTTCCATGGACAAATCAACTGTCAGTTAGCCCAATCCATTGATTGCCCTCGGCTAGGGTGTTCACCTTATGTTATTGGTAAGAATTATGGTATTTCATCTTTTTATTTGATATTTTAGAGAAAAAAAAAATTTTCCCGACCCTACCCGATCAAGTGTACTATTTTTACCCAAATTCCGTCCAAAACAACCAGGTAGCAAGTCAGATAAGAAATCCAGTAAACACATATTTGTATGTTATTAATTTTTTGGATCATTTTAATAATTCAATTAAATAACTTGCACCAATTAACTAATATAATAAATCAATAACACTAAATAAAACATAATAAATTCGAAAAGATATAAATAATTTCAATAAAATACAACAAGAAAGTCATAAACATCAATACATCATAATTATTACATAAATATAATAACAATTGTTTTAAGTCTAAACCATATCAAGCACATATCAAACATCATAAGTGTTGCAATAGATCACCACAAAACAAGTACCACATATACATGCGGGTAAAGTCCGGTAGAAATACGAAATTTTTATGAGTTTTTTATATTCCTATCCAATTTTTATAAAATACAAAAAATTCTTGCATTAACCTACCAAATTTTTTACAGTAACCGATTAGTAGGGTTGTATAGCATCAAGTAAGGTCAGAATATGCGAATAATCATAAATTTGAATACCTTTTACCTTGGCAATTGAGAACCAGTTGGGCCACTGAAAGGCGATCAACAGTGGCCCAGTTGGGCCATTGAAAGGCAATCGAATTTATTATTTTTATTATTATTTTTACTATTTTATTATTAATTTTATTATTATTTTTTATTATAAATTATTTAATTTAAAATTAATAATTGAAATTAAAAAATTACGATATCAAATTCCGTACCGTAGTCTATCCTAGATGTGATTTTACCTTCGCCGTGAAACAGAGCCGTCCACTTAAGGATGGCTCTCAATCTCCTTCGAACTAACTTTTCCGAAACTTTAATTGCTTACTGTAATTGGTCTGCCAGTTAACTACATATGGATAGCAGTATAGTTATTAAGCTTCTACCGACCACCATCGCACTGCCAGACCCTTTATTACAGGCATCACAAATCAAAGAGAACAATGTAATTTTACACTTTCTGCTTGTTGGTTATTCGTTTGTCTCAATTTCTTGACGTTTCAGAGGTGATTTTTCACTTCCTTTTTGATATAGAAAGAAAATTCTAATCCTAAGAAAAGCGGAAGAAAACCCACTGAATGGCATCAGTGGATCAAAGTCAAGTCTTCAATCTGATAAGAGTTATGTCTTGATTTCATTGCAGAGGTAAGTTTTTTTTTTTTTCCGGTCAGGGGCGTCCTAGCCACCCAGATTTACTAGTGATAATTGGATAATTTTTCAGTTTACCGTCTTACTTTGACCCATGCACACTAAATCACTAAAGCATAAATGCATTTACCTCTAAGCAATGCTATTTGAATTTAATTTACTAACTAAATTACTTTATGTATTTGGATTGACTATAAATAAGAGAGGTAAAAGGGGGGGTAAAATTAACATAAAAGAAGACGATAAAAAATGATGCGATAACTCGTACAAGTAACTCAGTGGTATGGAATTAAATTTAAGACCAACTATAAACTTGAATGTTCTACGTTTGACCTTCATTAGTAACTCTCAAATATATCTGGTACTTGTGATTTGCGAGTAATTGTAAGTATCCGGAATTTAATCTACATGAGTAAGCCCAATATGATCCAGTCTTAGAGAGGTTTCAAATTAAAAAAAAATTATACGATAACTTGTCGTTCAATAGAAATATAACCTTTGATAAGATACAAAGACCGATCATAATTCAAAATCAAATACCCAACCCAAAATTATTGAGATAAGACTTTATTCATTTTAATTTAAAAAATTTAGAAGTCATTTATATATATATATATTTGGAGTTCTTTATTTCTTCAAGGTAACATTGATGGAAACCCATTTAATACGTAGCTGTTGGCTTTAATTGACCTTTTAAACCAAGACTAGCAAGAATTGAATGCTGCTGTTATCCTCAAGGCAAATGGATCTGGTAAGTGAAGCAATAATGCCACAAACATCCGATAGGAAACGGTTGTTCATTACCTACTACTCCTGCTGGTCACTATTGCTTGTACTTGTGAGCTGTGACCGGCCCGCCACAAACATAATTTGATTAGATGGCTCGTGTAATGTATCCTGGCCCTGCTGTGATTTTATGGGATCACACCAATGTAGGTATGAATGCAATTACATGATCTGAGCTGGGCTTGGGGACAAGCAAGCATGTAGAGGTGGCCACTCCTTTTACTCTCATTAATTTAGACTTTTTGTGCCCCGTTCCTCAGTGGCACTGGGTCACGAAAAATAACCCCTTCAAAGCAAGATAAGGTTGCGTAAATCTTATTTTTCTGAGATACTAAGTTACCTTTTTGTTCATTAGGGACATAGTGGAGTACTGAAATGAAGGATAAACAAGCAATTAATTTAGGACCACTTTACTTCCCCCGCTCCACCCCCAAAAAAATCAACTCAGAATGGTTGAATTCTCGGATCATCAGTCAATTCAGGCAGCTACAATTGTCTCCGTTGGACCTACAGGTTCACCATTCTTCTTCACATGTTTGACAATTGAATGCTTTTCTATAGCTAGAGACTGTAGAGAAGTATGAGAGGCAATTATTTCTTGGGACAATGCCATTAGAATAAGGGAGGGGGAGTATTTAATGCGTCTTGGTTGACCTGCAATTATCTGTGGAATGGTTGCTTAGTTGAAACTTGAAAACCATTGAGGGTAACAACACCTTTGTCTCCATTGTTTATTCTTGAATCCCAAAGAAACAGGATTGATCAATCCAAACAACGCAAATATTTCTTTAGTCTCACAACCTTAGCGGACCGGAAACTCTTTAACCTAATCTGCTTAAAGACAACTTCACTGCATCTCTCTTTCTCTCTTCAAGATTGAATATGGATCCTATTAACAGAAAGAAGTGGTTAAGGTTCTAGAGAATGAGTCGGTTTGACCTTTCTCTCGGATAATTGAGCTTAACTACTCTTATATAAAGAAGGCAAGTTAGGTTTCTTTGTGTCTTTTTGGGTAAAATAAAATTTCGGGTAAATTGGGTTTGTTTATGCCAACAAACTAAATTTCCTTCTTTGAAATTTGTTCTCTCTCTCTCTCTCTCTCTCTCTCTCGCGGGAGTCACCACAATTCAGGATGAAGAATTAAAAAGTAATCTACCCCAACCCAAGAGACAAGAAGCTCCTTTCAGAGCAACTGTTTTTCATTGCAACTTTTAACACATTTGAACCCAATGGGGGCATGGATGGATATTGCCCCACAAATTGATTACCAATGATTACAATAAAAACTTCAAAAATTTTCACCACTGAAAACAACTGTACTGATAATTGCACATAATTCAGGAGTCCTATCAAGACCTTTTGAGTGGAGATGCCTCTTAGGTATGGCATAACCATTTCATAGATTTAAAGAACCAACCAGGAAACTGTTGCCTGAAACCTTTTATGAGGCATTATTTTTGTGCCCTGAAGCACACCCCCCACACTCCCAGTGAAATAGGCACCAAAATATAGGTTGTGCTATGTTAAAAGAAAGCTGAAAACAGAGTGTAAGAGCAAAAACTGCTATAGAATAGCAACAAACAGACTTCAACGGTTCACTTAACATTTCTCTTTTTATTACTACACCCTTGAGTTCTGATAGTCAATAAATTCCTCAAAAGACAACTGTGTGATTTCAAGAAGTATATAAGAAGTGAAAGCCAATATTGCACACCACAAGTAGTGATCAAATTCTTTAGACAGTGAAAAAACAATGTATACAACCCTTTAAGTTTACCTGTAAAACATGATATAGTTGAAGTATTACAATCCTAGATTAGAACCCATTCGACACCATCTTCTCTTGCAGCTATCTCAAAACTCCTCACTGTACAGTAAGCGAACTCACCAAGCGAAAAAGAAACATGGAACTTATGCCATTGAAATCAAATGAAACAAATTGGACATCGTATAAGCCCATTCTCATTGCAATCAGGGCATCGTTGAAATCCATACTCACATTCTTCATCAGATTCTTCATCATAATCACCTTCATAATAAATCTTACAACTCCCTGAACATGTGTCACAGGGCACAAACCTTATATCCCCACATGCCTCACAAACTCCCCCACCTCCANTCTCTCTCTCTCTCTCTCTCTCTCTCGCGGGAGTCACCACAATTCAGGATGAAGAATTAAAAAGTAATCTACCCCAACCCAAGAGACAAGAAGCTCCTTTCAGAGCAACTGTTTTTCATTGCAACTTTTAACACATTTGAACCCAATGGGGGCATGGATGGATATTGCCCCACAAATTGATTACCAATGATTACAATAAAAACTTCAAAAATTTTCACCACTGAAAACAACTGTACTGATAATTGCACATAATTCAGGAGTCCTATCAAGACCTTTTGAGTGGAGATGCCTCTTAGGTATGGCATAACCATTTCATAGATTTAAAGAACCAACCAGGAAACTGTTGCCTGAAACCTTTTATGAGGCATTATTTTTGTGCCCTGAAGCACACCCCCCACACTCCCAGTGAAATAGGCACCAAAATATAGGTTGTGCTATGTTAAAAGAAAGCTGAAAACAGAGTGTAAGAGCAAAAACTGCTATAGAATAGCAACAAACAGACTTCAACGGTTCACTTAACATTTCTCTTTTTATTACTACACCCTTGAGTTCTGATAGTCAATAAATTCCTCAAAAGACAACTGTGTGATTTCAAGAAGTATATAAGAAGTGAAAGCCAATATTGCACACCACAAGTAGTGATCAAATTCTTTAGACAGTGAAAAAACAATGTATACAACCCTTTAAGTTTACCTGTAAAACATGATATAGTTGAAGTATTACAATCCTAGATTAGAACCCATTCGACACCATCTTCTCTTGCAGCTATCTCAAAACTCCTCACTGTACAGTAAGCGAACTCACCAAGCGAAAAAGAAACATGGAACTTATGCCATTGAAATCAAATGAAACAAATTGGACATCGTATAAGCCCATTCTCATTGCAATCAGGGCATCGTTGAAATCCATACTCACATTCTTCATCAGATTCTTCATCATAATCACCTTCATAATAAATCTTACAACTCCCTGAACATGTGTCACAGGGCACAAACCTTATATCCCCACATGCCTCACAAACTCCCCCACCTCCACCTCCACCACAATCATCCACCATTTCACAACCTTCTACTATCTTCTCAAGCTTTCCTTCTTCGTGCATTCGCCGTATTTCTTCAGCCCCACCAACGTATTTCCTCCCCAAAAACACCCTTGGCAAACCACCACCATTGAACCCGGCTCCCAATAGCTCTTTCAACTCATCCTTAAACCCCGAATGCATTGATACATCCCTCTCATCAACCTTAACACCCAATCCCTTTAATATCACTCTTACATGGCAACAATCCTCAAATGTCTTCCTCACCCCTCTTAAGCTGGTGAAGTAGACAACAACCTTGTCCTTAGCAGGTGTCCCACATTTATACTCAGAGACAAAGTCGTTAACTTTCTTCGCATCCGTTACCTCCAATGTTTGAACCTGATCCTTGCCGGCCATGGCCTGTGGCAATTCACTGAACAATGGCTTGATGTGAAAAGGGTTGGCCGGCGGAAGATCCTCTAGTGCTTTTCTGAAGGTTGAAATCACATCTGGATCAAACTCAGACACTATGGATGTTGCATTCGAATTGGAATTCGAGTCATTATCTGCCACCTCTAACCACCATGGTTTAGGGGAGGCTTCCCCATTTTCTAGCAGTTTCGGTACAGGATGATCAAAATGAGATTGGAATGAACTTGATTTCGGAGGGAAATTTAAGGAAAAACTACGACGATGATGGGGTGGCCGAACAGGACTAGTATCTTCGAGACCCTCCATCAATTCCCACGCATCGATCGTCTCTGGCTCACCGGGAGGCGTTCGAATTGGGGTTTTTGGGCCAACCTTTGGAATCTTTTCATTGATCATTTTAGACCATGTTTTCGCCTCAATCACTCCCATAGCGAACTCCTCCTTGCTTCTCTGATCGTGCTCATTATCATCATCGTCATTCTTTTCATCATGTCCATTCTGTGTCGGAGAACTGTTTTCATTGACAGGGTGACTTTGAGTTGATGGATCGAGCTTAAGAGACCCTAATGTGGAGGAGGTGAGAGCCACCATATGGTAGCTATCGCCTTCTCGCTGAGGCGGGTGATGGACATGCATTGAGTAGCTCCGTGACATCGGCGAACAGGGTGTCTGGCAGTTCCGGCAGACCGGTGGTTGCTTCGAAGTTGCGCAACCCATAAAGAAACGTCAAAGATTAAATTTGGAAAGAATGAAAAAGGGTGCGTGATAGAGGAATTGGGCAATGGATGAAAAGAAACATTCCCAAATGAATGAGCTGGATGGGTGAGGAATTGGGTAGAGATTCCAAGATTAAATATGCAAAATCGAGGAATTAAAAATGGTGAAATTGATGCTATTCGGACAATTGTGCCTGCATTTCATACAATAGGGGGAAAAATTAGAATAATATAAGAATTGCCAGAATCAGAAAGAGAGAGAGAGAGAGATGGGTCGAAGTTTCTCTGCGAAATAGAGCACAAAAAGATACAAACATTCGTAGAAAAAGCTCCAATAGTAACCGTTACTTTCTTTCAATGAAAGAAATATAACTGATAACTCACAGTAATTTATAAAAGTACCTCAATTTTCTCTCCACTCTTTTGTCTCTCTCAAGAAACACAACCCAACGAGTTCCTCAAAAAGACCGCCGGTGTGAGTGTGACTGAAGGAGTGCTGAGCAACAAAAAGAAACCCTCCTGTAAGGGATTGGAACGGTAGATATATACATGAGATTATATATGTATTTTATTTTTGAGTAACGTTATATTGATCAAATTTTAGAATTAAATTTGGAGTTTAAATGACATGACAGTTGACTTGTACTTTTTTTATTGGTGTGATATGATGTCATTATCACACCAATCAAAGAAGTACAAATCAACTGTCATGTCATTTAGACTCCAATTTTAACTCTTAAAATTTGATCAATCTATCATTCTTGTTTATTTTTTGGAGCTAATAAAGAATTACAAATACGAAGAAATGACAAATATGAGCGAAAGGATCAACGAATGCGAGAACTACTGCTTGATGGCTCCGGTAGAGTTCCCACGCCCAAGCTTATCGACAAATGACTCGTTTTGTCGGTCCCACTTTCCTTTCTGGCCCGTGAACTGTAATAAATCTCGTTTTGCGAATGAGATTTATTTCTATATTTATATATTTTTTAAAAAAATTATTGATCGATTTCATATCATGAATTTAAATAAAATTAATTATATATACTTGAATGTTTTAGTCGTTAATAATGAATAATCAGTTAAAAAAGTTAAAAAAGAATTAAAAAAATTAAGAGAAACATCAGAAAGTGTTAAAATTTGTAACTTCATTAACTCTCCGACGCCGGATAAGCATTCGTCCTTGAACATCCAAAAGTCTTTAATTGTTAATTCATAACGTTGACTTATGATTATAATCAAAAACTCGGGTGGAGGACAACTAACGACTAAATTTTTAGATTGCTCCCTTTGGCATTACCACCTAGACTCCTCCTAGTACTGCATTTTGAAGGGATTGTAATTATAATCCAATGTAGGCATACCTTTAACCCGACCATTTCAACACGTCAACACCATTCGGATACGGAGCCTAGTGGCGCTGTGATTAGGGATGTAATTTGAACGGGTTAATTTAAATTCAATTCGAATCTAATCTAAAAATTTAGTACTTGGATTGAAGTTTTTAATATTTGGATTGAACTTAGACAAAAAAAATCAATCCAAATTGAATTCATGTAGTACCCTAGTTGAGGCTTTGAGTTGCGAAGTTTTACTCAAATATATAAATTGGACTCGATTAGAATACTAAATTGGGTCAAATAAACATATTTAAAAATATATAGAAATCAACTAGGTTCAATCTTTAGGGGTCACCTCCCTCATTCAGACCCTCACTCTCTTAGCCTCTCTTAGACGTCTCCCTTACTCAGACCCTTAGTCTCTTAGATGCTTCCCTCTCTCACTCTGTCTCTCAGCCTGTCTTAGTCATTGACACTCGATCACCATCAACGATCGACCAAAGACCTTCATCCGCATGTCCCTCAGACCTTCATTCTCGATATCTCAGATATGTGCCTTCCAACAAAGACCTTCATTAGATCTGCACCTCTCAAATCTCTCAAATTTGCGCCTCTTGAATCTCTTAGATTTGAGCCTCTCAAACCTTCATCGATCTCTCAGATTTTGTAAAACTCTAATTTCAAATTTTGCAGTAGATAATGGGCAGGGGGGGTGTGGCGTGGTTCATTTTCAAATTTTGTAAAATTTCTTGTGGCAGTAGGTAGTGGCTATGGTGTGGTTTTTGTGGTAGTGACCGTGTTGTTTTGGTTTAACTTTCTTGTGGTGTGTTGGATGTATCGGATTTAAAAAAATGAGCTCATTTTGGGTTTGAACGAATTCAAACTCAAAATCAGCCCAAATGAACTACATCGAATTCAATCCAAGCCCTCCCCTAATTTGTTGGACAAAAAATAGTTACACAGAACAGTTTATTAATAATAAAAATTAAATTTTTGGTTGACTTTGAACTTAAATTAAAGTAGGACCCGTTCGTTATTTCGAGTAAATTTTTGTGAGTTCATATTTTATTCTATGAAGAAAATAATATAATATATTTATTTGCTCAAATCGAGTAAGAAATGAAAGAGAAAATAGGCTCCAAAATGACTCTCTTAAAATGTGGAAATAAAAATTGTGTAATGTGAAATTTGACACCAATCCCACATTGGTTAATGAGAAAATTTTACATGGGCTTATATAGACCAAGTTTAATTTATGAGATCGGGTCCCAAGGAGTACCACAATTTTATAAGCGGAGCGAACACCTACATGTTTTCTATTCTACCACACATGCTCGCACGCTAAACCGAAATTTAATTTTCGGTATCCATTAGATCACACTAGTTCGGATTTTTGTTTCCAAATTGAGTTATGACTGTTCATACAGAACAGTACTGGCTGTTGCATTTGTTTTCTAAGTTGTGTCTTTTAGTATGGTGGTTGTCCGAAAAATCACCAAAATAAATAAATATTCTGGCTCATTACCATTTTGCACTGATTCATTTATCGGTCCATTTGCGGCATTATGACATACAATATTGCATTGCAATTCGGCATTAAGGCAGTTCACATTTTGAAGAGTACAAAACATAATTTCTGGTTCACTGAACTAGTAGATTAGAGTGCTATTTCTATTCATGTGAAGATCATTGTATCCTGAGAGGTAGATGCTAGATATTCCATAAGTGTTGTGTGTGGGGGCTAAATCTGTCTTAAAGATATAGTGTCAAACACTAACCTTGATCTACTTCAAATTCTATTATGCTAACAAGTTAGTATTTATATTAATTTGACAAACAGTTACGTGTAACTGTTTTGATAAGACTGTTGTAACTGTTTCGTTAATTCTTTTGTAACTGTTTTCGCTCAAGCTCGTTACTGTTTTGTTATACATTACATGTCTTAAATCAAAAATTTTAATAAATAGTTTTATTATATTTAAAATACCATAAACAACATAATTAAAATCGAGTTAAAGTTAAAATTATGATTCAAATTAAAAATTATATATTTAAAATTAAATTAAAATTAACCTTTTAATCCGACCGAGTTGTACCTTATCAGAATTGCTACTCGCTCTTTATTGCAGAACCATGTAAAGTAGTCATTTGAATGGTACGGATCTCCGGTACTCTGATTGTTTGCAACAGAGTCAACACCGTTGGATGATCTGTGCATGGGGGATTGTTTTCCCATAATTATGGGATGTGCATGGAAAGACATAACCATCCACGTGATGGCACGTGGATGCTTCCATACAGTCTCCCACACGTATGTACGCTCTTCCTCTATCTCAGCTCATCCACCATCCATGAATACGCCAGAAATCTTCATGAGATGAGCCCACAGAGGGGTGTCAATTTAAGTTATGAATGCAAACCTTGTACGAATCCAACACAATTAAAAATGATTTGATTTAGTTATTATTAGATACAAATAATCAAGTTAGTTATCATTTTAGAAATAGAAAAAACGTATGATTTTTTTATATTTTTGTTATCTTGATTTAAGATTACATATATTTTTTAAATTAAATGACTTTTATTATGATGTGATTGATATTATATTCACGAATATAATATATAATTTTTATATGAAATTTCATGTTCATCAATAGAGTCATCATACGATCACTAAAAAGTTCAAAAAGATATTACACGACTAAATTGATAACCCTATTCCGTGCATCTTCATCTTTAGTGGTCTCGGCTGGAGATTCAGTTCAACTAGGGCAGCCTCAGATTAAGTGGGACTCCACTTGACCATTGATGGGGTTTCACCTAATATGGATGGTTCAAGCAACATGTGTGCACAAGGGTACCTTTAGCTAGCCGTCTGGATATGCACCACTGAGGTTGTGTGAACCAGAAATTAAAAAATGGCTGCATCAAACGTGCATGCCTATCCAGCTGAATATCAGGAAAAGGTGTTTATTTATAGATATTAAACCAGCTGTTTTTAACTAGATTATAACATCACATACTATAAACACAACTCCCGAGAGAGAGAGAGAGAGAGAGAGAACTCTATTTGACCATTTTTTTTTGGGGTGAGATGGCTGTAGAGGAGGGAGGAAGGGAATGGCTGTTTGGATGGAATGTCTGTCTGCCTATTAATGCTCCTCATGCATGTTCATGGCCTCCACTAACTTACTATGCTTTCAGAAAGAAAATTTTATATGGTCTGCTTCAACAAATTCAATATACGAGTGGATGATGTCATAGTACTCGATATTTAATTACAAAGTACTTATTTTATATCTCATTGTCTGGTCTCTTTGTTACACTTCTTCGGTTCGAATTTGAATTTAGATTCATTTAATATATATACTTTCCTCCTATTGATGATTGATTCTTCCCATATCTTAAATGTGGATTCACTTGAGTATAAATAACTCATACTTGAATCCATTACAATAATCTATCATTACACTACAGTGAAAAAAAAAATATTATGGATCATACCAATATGTAATCTTCTAAAATATTTTGGAAATAAGAAAAGTAAAGGGGAAGAAATTGGAATTAAGGAAAGTAAAGGGGGTAGAAAAAACAACCGTATGCTGAAAATATTCAGATTGTAAGTGTTTTTTGACCCATACTTTAGAAATATTCCAATTTGTACCTTATATTTTTTAGAGTAATGTTAAACTGACGGTGCACTCATTTAGAATTAAAGAGTAATGTGACACTATATTGTCTTTACTTTTAATCTAGTCTTAGGTCAGTCTAATATTTACTTTTTCTTCCAAATGTTGTAAGAACAGTTGACGTTGGGGTGAATATTTAATCTTACATTTTCAGAATTTAATGATTCTACCCCACAACCTTATTGGGCCCAAATTAATACAGAAGCAGGCTTTCCAAACCTAGGTGACTCTATTCAGTTTGGGTTTTCATTACAATCCAATCCAGTCTCCTCCTGAGAGCTGATTGTTGGAAAATTTGATGAGAATGGTAAAGGATAGGGCTTTGCATAGAGGGAAGCCCCTGTTACAATATGGAAACTACAACTTGAACGCAAAATTGAGGGTTGTCATTGACTCGCCTTGGTCAAAGTTATATCCAATTCGTGAATTTTAAATCTAAACATAACTTTATGTTCACGTCTATTCGGATTCAAATTTGGTCAGGTTATCTGACACATTTGGAGTCGATTTTGAGTTGTTTATGAGCAATTCAAGAAGTAGCCACGAAATCGGTTAATACCTTGTCCAAAAATTTCCCAACAATTTATGATGGTTTTTTTAATTTCTCTTGGGGAACTTCTTTGACTGGAGGTTACTGTTTGGGTTGTAATGGAAGGGGAAAGGGAAAGGGAAAGGTGCGAATATTATAGCAAGATTACATTCAACCCCCGCTGAGTGTATTTATCTTAGCTCGTCTGTCCAATAGGACTTCAACTTTAATAAACCAGGACGTCCAAAGCCAACGTCATATTCCTCATAGTGACCAATCATGTTCGACATTCAGGTGTCTTACCTCACCGCCACTTTATTCAACTATTTTCCGCTGCCTCTGGTGTCCAATCTCTTCCCTCGCTACTTTTCACGCTAAAAGCACCTCTCTCTCTCTCTCTCTCTCTCTCTCTCGTTTTTACTCACTTGGCTTGGCAAGCTGCCCCAGTACTCGTGTCGTCGTCTCTTTCTTTAAAAACCCTATTCGTTAGGGATCATATTCCGCACTCGATAGGCTCAAACAATTTTGTCTTTGTGTTTTTATGCTCCTAGGTGAGTGTGTGTGGGAGAGAGAGAGAGAGAGTATAGGACTGATAATTCGGACTACATTCTTGACTCTGATCCCCTTCAGCTTCTGTTATTGAATTTTCTAGGGTTTCCAGAGCTCTGAACCTGTACATTCATTCCAAACCTATGAAAGATTATGATTAGCTCCGGGTCTTTATATTGCATGTCCTTTCTGTGTTCTGTTGAGCCATTTACAGCCTTTTCACCCGATTTTCTCATCTGGGTGGTTTGAGTGATTTTAGAGTAAAGGCTTACTATTTGTCACGATGGTATCTTTTCATTGGGTTTCCTAGAAATTCAGAATTTTGATCATATAAATTTCAGAAATTGTATTTAAGAAGTTTTTGGCGGCTTTTGATTTTTCCTTTTGATTGGTTTTTGATGTTTGTTATATTTGATGAGTTTGGTGTCTTTGGGTTAGAGCATAGATAAAAGTGGGCATTTGATGGATTGAGTCTATTTTCATCTGTGGGAATTGAAGGTTTGAAAGAAAATGGGGTTAAGTCCTGATGCTATAAAGATGGGGAAGCTGTGTGTGGGCAAATCAAAGGAAAGGAAGAAGAAAGATGATGATGCAGAGGAGACTGGGTGTTGGATTAAGATCAGGTTCTTGGGGAGGTGCATGTCTTCAGGGTCGAAAGTAGATAGTTCTGTTAGTAGCTCTTGCACACAATCTGGTACTCTTCAAAGCATCTTTCCATAAGATTGCTCCTTTTTTTTAATGTTCTCTGAGATCATTGGCCCGTATAATTACTATTATTTCTGGTGGCTGTTGGTTATTTTGTGATATATATGTTTCAATTTGTTATGATCCCTGAAACAGTAGCACATTCTTTTATTTACGTTGGTATATTTGTTGGCTACATCATGTCACGACCATACTTATTTGTGCTAATTAAGTGTATGTCTGCTTTGATTCTAAAAGGAATGTCAGGGATGATTTTTCACTATCTTACTGTTTGACTGACCTTGGTCTTGATCATGGATACTCTTTTGTCCAAAAAATAGTTTGTACTATAATATAATCGTTTTCCATTTGTGCATGGTTGTTAAATGTTGATTCCATTGAATTAAAAAATACCGGTAAATATTTTGTCGTTTATGTCCTAATTATGGTTGTTGAATTAAGTTAAAACCAGTCAAGCAGTGCTTGTTTCNCCCCTTCAGCTTCTGTTATTGAATTTTCTAGGGTTTCCAGAGCTCTGAACCTGTACATTCATTCCAAACCTATGAAAGATTATGATTAGCTCCGGGTCTTTATATTGCATGTCCTTTCTGTGTTCTGTTGAGCCATTTACAGCCTTTTCACCCGATTTTCTCATCTGGGTGGTTTGAGTGATTTTAGAGTAAAGGCTTACTATTTGTCACGATGGTATCTTTTCATTGGGTTTCCTAGAAATTCAGAATTTTGATCATATAAATTTCAGAAATTGTATTTAAGAAGTTTTTGGCGGCTTTTGATTTTTCCTTTTGATTGGTTTTTGATGTTTGTTATATTTGATGAGTTTGGTGTCTTTGGGTTAGAGCATAGATAAAAGTGGGCATTTGATGGATTGAGTCTATTTTCATCTGTGGGAATTGAAGGTTTGAAAGAAAATGGGGTTAAGTCCTGATGCTATAAAGATGGGGAAGCTGTGTGTGGGCAAATCAAAGGAAAGGAAGAAGAAAGATGATGATGCAGAGGAGACTGGGTGTTGGATTAAGATCAGGTTCTTGGGGAGGTGCATGTCTTCAGGGTCGAAAGTAGATAGTTCTGTTAGTAGCTCTTGCACACAATCTGGTACTCTTCAAAGCATCTTTCCATAAGATTGCTCCTTTTTTTTAATGTTCTCTGAGATCATTGGCCCGTATAATTACTATTATTTCTGGTGGCTGTTGGTTATTTTGTGATATATATGTTTCAATTTGTTATGATCCCTGAAACAGTAGCACATTCTTTTATTTACGTTGGTATATTTGTTGGCTACATCATGTCACGACCATACTTATTTGTGCTAATTAAGTGTATGTCTGCTTTGATTCTAAAAGGAATGTCAGGGATGATTTTTCACTATCTTACTGTTTGACTGACCTTGGTCTTGATCATGGATACTCTTTTGTCCAAAAAATAGTTTGTACTATAATATAATCGTTTTCCATTTGTGCATGGTTGTTAAATGTTGATTCCATTGAATTAAAAAATACCGGTAAATATTTTGTCGTTTATGTCCTAATTATGGTTGTTGAATTAAGTTAAAACCAGTCAAGCAGTGCTTGTTTCTTTCTTTACTTCTTTGCCACTCTTCTAAAAAGAGAAGTGAATTGATTATTTCCTGTTATGCTTTTTGTGGTAATAGCAGTATCAGGTACGTCTAACAATTGGGAAAAAAAAGTGATGGGTAGGGTTTTATCTTTATCACTCATGTTGTTGGGTCGCCCTAACTTGCAAAAAGTTAAAACTGTTTCTCCATGGTTCTCACCACGTTTTGCATCAGCTTCGATGTAGCTATAGGATGGTGATGTGCTCATGCCTTAGAAGCATACAAAGATTAACATAGGGTTATCCTCATTGGTCAGAGTTTTATTGTACTTCAGCAGAGTGCATCTAGATTGGGAGCTCGAAAAGTGCAGCACCTTCCTTTTTCTGTGATCCCAAGAGATCTATAAGTTTCCATTGTCTCTTTTGGCGTGGCAACATAGCGTGAAGAATTAGAACTATATTAGGGCGAAAAATGGCAATAGTTGTTGTGGCTTAAATAAGTAATTTGGATATGCAATAAGTACTTTTTCATTTTTCTGTAAATTAGCTAGAAACAACAATTTGTGCACTAGAGGAGCTGCGAAGTATGCACACATGGTCTACAGATGATGGCGAATGTCTTCCCTTCCTCCATGATACACACATAAGACTCAAGCATGCTGTTTCTTCTTTTACTTTTTTCTTATGCATTCCTGTGACAGCAATCCAGTTATTTTTTTCAATAGCTGGTAGTAGATCACCTGTAGTTCCACTGTCCAATCATTTAAAGCCATCTTTGAAGGCACTTTTATACGGCAAATGCAATCACAAGGAAGCCAACGTATCTCTGGTCAAATTTCCTTATGAAATTGGGTAGAAAAATGTAGAATTGTAACTAGTGCTTACTTTAGCAATACATATCACAGATAACTTTAAATAAGTGATTGATAGAAACAATTTAAGCCTCCCATTATCATACAACATTCCAACATAGGCAGTTTACTTAGAAATCCAGTTGCATATATGATCCACGTTATAGGTTACATCCAGTCCATTCTTGCACAAGACACATTGTGGAATCAACAACTGACTCCACGCTAACCAGGCTGTAAATGTGCATGTAGCGGTTTGTGTGTATTGTGCTAATGATTTAATGTGATTTTCTCCTGATAATTCATGTAGCATCATTTTGATATGTCAAATGAAGACATACCAATGCATTTATGGATAGGTTTTTCTGATAACTAATGAATAGGCTTATGATGCTATCTTCCTTTTTGATGTGTGCAACAGCGGAAAGTAAATCTACAAATGAGACGATTACAGACCAACCAGTTGCTCCAGTCGCGTCGTCTTCAACCACTAGCAATGGAGAGAGTACTCCATCCACTCCCAACGTAGGCGAGGAACTTAAAATTTCTTCTCAGCTTCGGAAATTCTCTTTCCCTGAGCTGAAGTCAGCAACGAGGAATTTTAGACCCGAGAGTCTCCTTGGCCAAGGTGGCTTTGGTTGTGTTTTTAAGGGTTGGATCAATGAGAATGGAAATACGCCAGTGAAACCTGGCACAGGGCTCACTGTTGCCGTAAAGACCCTCAATCATGACGGACTTCAGGGTCACAAAGAGTGGCTTGTAAGAAACCACCTGAAGCTTGCCCTTTTATTTTGGATTATATCTGCTACTTGTTAATGTTCTTTTTCTTCGCTTATGACTAATGGTTTATTTATTGTTTACCCCATGTGATAGGCTGAAGTGAATTTTCTCGGTGAGCTCCTCCATCCTAATTTGGTTAAATTAATCGGCTATTGCATAGAGGATGATCAAAGGCTACTTGTGTACGAGTTTATGCCTCGGGGAAGCTTGGAGAATCACTTGTTTAGAAGTATGTAGCTGAACTTGTTAATTCTCAAATTTACCTAGCTTATGCTCCCATGTGGATTTATCATATTAGGAAGTGGCATTATTCACGCATTTGTGGTTGAGACATCCACAAATTTTACTATACTTGAAACTACCTTATGGTATAATTGTATGTGGTTGATCATCATAATGCCACTATTATGCCTCCATTTATTTCCATTTGAATTGTACCTGTAGTCATGTTCTTCTTAATGCTATACGGGGTTGTGTTATCTTTGCTTGGAAAATATTTTTTCTTGCCTTCATTTTCCACACATGTAAAATTTACTATCTAGTGTTGGGACCTGTACAATGACCATTCCAAATACATTGATACAAGCAATGCTAGTTGGGGAGGGACCTGCAGTTTGGTGATGATCTCTTGAATCATTTTATTTGGCTGGATATTACTCCCTTTCACACCATAGAGGAAATGCAGCAATGACTTCAACATATGAAATCTAGTCTTTGGGATGCATTAAAAATGACTTTTTAGCAATATTCAGGAGTTTGCACCATTGATAAAGACCAAAAGTCAGTTGACATGTGTAATCGTGTTATACAGCAATGGCATTAGATTATGGGACCCGATACTTTTGCTGCAGAAAAGTTTGTTTCTTTTTCCTGTACTTTGGAGAAGAGTACCCTGCTGTTAGTATCTTTTGTGAGTCAACATTCAAGAGTTTGATCAGGCACATCTTTTTTTGAGTCCTTATGTTGAGTATTTTTAATAGGGTTTCATGTTTACTTTGAAAGCCCTAGGGATGATTAGAATCTGTGAAAATTTCTTTTTCACCCATGCTCGTGGTCTGGCACCAGTCTTAAAGGGCATTTGGCACTGCCTGAATGTGCATGCTAGTAACTCGAGAACTGATGGAACGTGATTGCTGACGTAGCTTCCATCTTTCTTCTGTTGTGGCAACTTTCACATGACAATGCATAAAAATATGGGCACGACAATCCTGTAGTTTTGATGGTTTGATTATGCTTTTTTTAATGACCTAATCAGGTCCATTCCTGCAGCATCCGTGCAATGCATTTGGGATCTTAGTTTGACAAGCTGGTTACTTTGGTCTGCTCACGTCCTGCCCTCCTATCTAGCTTTTTTTTGTTTGTTTTTTCTCTTCATCTTCTTCCATCCATGGTCAGTATCGTATAGCAGGATTTTGTTCTGTTAGTTTTTAATTGGTATCAACTATAATGAACTTCTAGACATTTCCGCCTACAGTTTGGTTTGTGTTTTTTTAAGTAATGACCATGTTCTGCATGGTAGGGTCCTTGCCTCTTCCTTGGTCAATCAGAATGAAAATTGCACTTGGTGCTGCAAAGGGTCTTGCCTTTCTTCATGAGGAAGCTGAAAGGCCAGTAATATATCGGGATTTTAAAACATCTAATATCCTTTTGGATGTGGTATGTGGCTTGAACTTCTGAACGAAACTACAATAAGAATTTTGTTATGTCTAGTCTAACCGTCTTTCTCAATGTTGCTGTACCAGGACTACAATGCGAAGCTTTCTGATTTTGGACTTGCTAAAGATGGTCCGGAGGGAGATAAGACACATGTATCTACTCGAGTAATGGGAACATATGGTTATGCAGCACCAGAGTATGTGAGGACAGGTGAGCATGGCCAAACTGTATTGTCATTTTCCTTTTCTTTTTTGGGAGTCGGGGCAAAGGGAGTGGACCATGTCCCATCTGGGTATCTGTGCTCGTGATAGTTGTGCTAGACATGGACTAAAATTAATTTCCACCTGAGTCATGTCCCTGTCTCTTTCTTTCGCTTGTATCTTCTGTGGGATGGCTCACTCAATTACACCTTTAGTTGTCTTGCATCTATGCTAGGTTATTGGCAGCCAGTTATATCTACTTTTTGTGATTTCAGTCGCTTTAACTTAGTTATGGGTTGTCAAAGGCGTGAACTTTCTGTTGTCTCGAGTCTTTACATCAGTATATAACTATGTATGTGTTGTGAATATGCATTATGAAGGTCAAATGTATGGGATGCACTTCAGAGATTAATGTTGAAAGGAAAATGTACTACTAAAATGAGCTGCTGGCTATGACAATTCCACCCCCATAATTGGTAGAACTTTTTATACTTTAGGAAGGTCGTAGTTTATAATTCTGTTACTGTCACCTCTAGGTTGTGATGTCTTTATAACTACAAAAGAACTTGAATATGGGCCTCTGATATAGACTGTTTTAAGGATGGAATCTTGTGTGATCCATTTGTTGTGCCAGGACATTTAACTTCAAAGAGTGATGTCTACAGTTTTGGGGTGGTTTTACTTGAAATGTTGACTGGCCGAAGGTCCATGGATAAAAGCCGACCAAATGGGGAGCATAATCTGGTGGAATGGGCACGGCCATATCTGGTAGAGAGAAGGAGGTTTTATCGGCTAATAGATCCCCGCCTTGAAGGTCGCTTTTCAATCAAAGGTGCACAGAAGGCGGCTCAGCTGGCTGCCCTTTGTCTTAGCCGTGACCCAAAGGCCAGACCTCTTATGAGTGAAGTTGTTGATGCCCTGAAGCCTTTACCTGACCTCAAGGACATGGCCTGCTCCTCATCCTACTTCCAGGCCCTGCAGGCTGATCGTTCTGGTAGTAACTCAAATGCTAGAAATAGCAGTAGAATGCACACAGGATTGCTCCCAAAGAATGGACAACCAGCCCGGAGCCTCTCCATTCCAAATGGTCCAAAGGTCTCTCCATATCACCATAACCATCTTCACAGGTCACCGATACCTAATGTTAGACAATCAGAACATTGAGTCATCCTAAGTTCTTTTCCTCGCTCACTTGTTCTCTTCCAAGAAAATGAGTTGATTCTGTAAAGCTGAAACATGCCAGGGTGGGTCTTCAAGTTTTTGGTGGTGTGTTCTGTTGCAGATGTGAGAAAGGTTGCACTGCTCTGTTGCTTAGTTTGCTGGTGATAGATAGTCCTGGAAAGAGTCTCTCTTGTGTGCCATATAGTTGTTTTAGACATGAAAACTTGGCTGCTAATGTTTCCCTTTTTTTTTAATTAAACTTCTTTTTTAAAAAATTGGAATATCCTTAACCGATCTTGTAAGCGATATGATTGCTTTATTAATCTGTTAAGATTGAAGTATTTTTCATCCGTGTTTAGTATCTTGTGTTTCCTGAGCTCTGGGTGGAGACTTCCATTATGCCTAACTGGTTAATTGTACATGTTTCAGTGCAAGGTAATTAAAAAAATTTGCAGAGCGATTATTATATAGCCAATACACAGCTATTTGCTTGTTTGTAGGTCATGCCGTTAAGCTTGTTCTGACATTATCTGTTTTAACAATATTCACTTTACTATGTAAATGTACAAATTCCGACAATTTATTATACTGTGTTGGAAGACACCATATGATAATATAGAAGCATCAGTAGTATCATACATATTGGATTAACTTGAACTAAATGAAGTGGAAACAGTCTCTATGGGTTCTTTAGCTGCCATACAGAAATTGTGTGAAGAGGTTTGGCTAGTGTTGTCCTGCGAGCAAGAAATTCTTGAGACACTCGTTGCATTGTCGGACGGTATTTTGGTTCAGGACACAGGCATGCAAACGCTAGTGTAGCAACCAGAACAATATCCCGTGCAACCTGTGCGTCAGCCGGTGGGGAGAGGCGTGGGTCTAACATTTCATTTAAAATTATATTTTGAGCAGATAATGATGATGACGATAGTGATGATAGGAGGTCTCCTGGATGCCGTCCCACAATTGTTTCCAATGCCACCACCCCAAAGCTATAGACATCACATTTCTCAGTCACAGCCATGGTGTATGCAAGCTCTGCATGAGAATTGGAGATCATTGAGCAATCGGTTAATGAAGGTTAATTATATTAGACGAATTATCCCAAAAGATTACTAAGAAATACATCCTTGTTTTAGCATGTATTGTTAGACTGGCAAAAAGGATGAACAATTTACCTGGAGCAATGTATCCATAAGTCCCTGCAACGAGAGTTTGATTCGAAGAATCAGGACATAGCAGCCTAGCTGTGCCAAAGTCTGCTACAAAAGCCTCCATTTTCGAATTCAACAAAACGTTGTTGCTTGATATATCTCGGTGAACGATTGGTGAGGCACAATCATGATGCATATAAGACAGAGCATGTGCGGTGCCTTTGACGATGTTCACTCTCGTAGTCCAACTCAATTCTACAGCCACCTCATCATATCTTAGTGCACAAAATAAGCTTCCATTTTTCATGTACTCGTAGACCAAAAACATGCAGCGATTGTGTAAACAGAACCCGTAAAGTTTCACAATGTTTCTGTGTCTTAGATTTGTCAACATTTGCACCTCATTCCTGAAACTCTTGTCAAATGCTGGCTCCTCAGCTTCCAAACGATGAAGTTTCTTTAAAGCAAACACTTGGCCGCCGGGCAGCTGTGCTTTGTAAACGCTACCATACCCGCCAGTTCCAATGCAATGCCTGATGTCAAAGTCGTCTGTTGCTTTGATTATGTCTTCATATGCAATGTGTCCATCGTAATTCCATATTGAGCACATATCACCATTCTTCATTGCTCTTTCCTCACTTGGAATTTTTTTACTCTTACTCCAAACAAAGTAAATAAATCCGAAAATTAAGAAGGCAAGAAAAATGGTGATGGGAAGGAAAATGACAAGAAAGTATGTGTGAAGACCCTGCCCCATTACCGGGACCCTGTCTTCCAAGGGTTAACCTCCCATTACCGGGATATCACCACCCTCCACCAAAGGATTTCGGCTAACCTGCGGGACAAACCCCCACAGTAGCCTTTACCTCTGTCCCACATCGGGGAAAGAGTCGTCTCCCCACCCCCATATAAGCCGAAGCACCATATGAGAGCAGTACCCAAGTAGTGCTACTTGGGTACTGCTCTCATATGGTGCTTCGGCTTATATGGGGGTGGGGAGACGACTCTTTCCCCGATGTGGGACAGAGGTAAAGGCTACTGTGGGGGTTTGACCCACAGGTTAGCCGAAATCCTTTGGTGGAGGGTGGTGATATCCCGGTAATGGGAGGTTAACCCTTGGAAGACAGGGTCCCGGTAATGGGGCAGGGTCTTCACACAAAAGGCGCCTTTTATGTGAAGACCCTGCCCCATTACCGGGACCCTGTCTTCCAAGGGTTAACCTCCCATTACCGGGATATCACCACCCTCCACCAAAGGATTTCGGCTAACCTGTGGGTCAAACCCCCACAGTAGCCTTTACCTCTGTCCCACATCGGGGAAAGAGTCGTCTCCCCACCCCCATATAAGCCGAAGCACCATATGAGAGCAGTACCCAAGTAGCACACTGTGGTACTTGGGTACTGCTCTCATATGGTGCTTCGGCTTATATGGGGGTGGGGAGACGACTCTTTCCCCGATGTGGGACAGAGGTAAAGGCTACTGTGGGGGTTTGTCCCGCAGGTTAGCCGAAATCCTTTGGTGGAGGGTGGTGATATCCCGGTAATGGGAGGTTAACCCTTGGAAGACAGGGTCCTGGTAATGGGGCAGGGTCTTCACAGAGTATTTCCGGGTATGGAGGTAAGGACAGATTTACAAAGAGAGAAAGAAATGGTAATGGAGAGTTAGGTTTTGAATTTTAGAGTTTTTGAAATTTGAAAAGAGTAAAAAGGACAGGGTTTTTTTTTTTTTTTTGGAGTTTGCCCTGTTAACTTTCCGTCTATAAACATAATTGGGTGGCTGAGTTTGCCCATGTGGTATGCACAACCACTAAATGTCTTCCACATCACTATTTTGTTGGACCATTGAATTCCTATTGTTTTGATTTAGGAAAGAACATCAAAATTTCACAATAGTGTCACCGCACATGAATATTTACTCCTCACCATGGTCATATAGTGTCACCATTTTATAATAAAATAATAATTTTTCGTGCTGGAAGACACTATGTAATACAAAAAAATATCACTATTTAAATATTTTAGCAAAAAAATTTCTTTGTTTTCCTTTAATTACATAATTTAAAATCAATTTGAGTCCATTTTTTGTTTAAAAATTTTAACAGGATCTTAAAAAAATAGTAACCAATAAAACATTTTACAGGCTCAATAAAACAAAATAAAAATTGAAATTGAAATCTGGGTCCATTTTTTGTTTAAAAATTTCAACAGGATCTTAGAAAAATAATAATCAACAAAACATTTTATAGGCTCAATAAAACAAAATAAAAATAAAAATAAAAATTGAACCTTTTATGGGTTTTTTTTGCCACAATTTATAGCATCCAACAAAATTGACCCCCAAGAACAACAAAAGGACATTCTAGTGATAATTATATCCTAGTAATAAAACACCACAACCGATACCAACCACCAAAATAAGCACCACAACTTAGAGTGTCATCCTCATTTTAAAATACCAGCATTATAAAACTAATTATAACATTTAAACATAATCTCCTAAACATATTTAGTTTCAAACACACTATTTAATTTCAATGAAGAACAAACATTGAAAATAGTTGAGTCAGACTAATCATAAAAATTTAAACATAATCTCCTAAACATAATTGGTTTCAAACACACTATTTAATTTCAACGAAAAACAAATCTTGAAAATAGTTGAGTCAGACTAATCATAAAAATTCACTTAGAGTGCATTCAAATTAGTGTTAATACTACTTAAGAATTTAATCTCAAATTGAAAAAGCCTTCCTAAAATACCCGAAACATAATTTTTAGTTTTGATACAAACAAGAAAAATCCACCAAAAAACTACCAACGAATTTGATGATGACATGAGTGGGTCAATCAAAGACAACCTGTAAAATTGAAACCAAATTTGACCGCGTAAGCAAATAGTAGTAGGCACCATGAATTAAGAAAATATAGTAACATACATGATGAATTTGACAAATTGAATGCATAAGACGCAATGAGTAAGAGAAATGGTAGTAAATCTAGTAGTAAGAAAAATGATATTTACTATCAAGTCGCTCCAATCTGTTAAGAGGTGACTATAAATTGTAAGTTCTACCAACACTTGGGGGCAGATCACACTCAATCGAGCACAACTTTCCTCTTTCTCTCTAAGCTTGTAACTCTCAGTTCTCCCTACGTACTTGAGTGAATAAAATACCTGACGACCCTAGCTATTTAAAATGGTCGTAGGTCACGTTGACCGAACCACTATAAACCTTATCCTCTCTCTCTCTACTTATTTATTGCATTTAATACTGTTTACTTGACAGGTAGTGTGCAAAGTCAATTTGTATATCATCAGTTTTAGTTCACACTTAGTCGAGCACAACTCTACCCTCCCTCTGTAAACTTATAACTCTCGGCTTTCCCTCTTTACTTAATTACTATATTTAATATTATTTATTTGATAGGTGATATGTAAAACTAATTTATACATTACGAAACACTTAAAATTTATGGACCTTACTTAAAATGGAACTGAAACCCAAACTTTATTGTCTTAATGATTGGGCTGGCCCTGCCCACGGGCGGGAGAGACTAACGCTCCTGGTTTGTCATTCAGTAGAAGAATGTCGTGAGGAGCTTCGTCATCTGAATCTATCTGCAATAACTCACCTTGCCTGTAATGAAAACATTGCCCCATAACCCCAAAGTGTAGTTGAGTGCAAATAAAAATAAGACGTAAATGTACGCGTCATGAATTTAAAATTTGACAATTTTATGACAATTTTATGAGAGTTTTATCTTTTACGAATTTCTTAATCTCATTGTGGATGACCTATCTTTAATCAGATCGAATAAAAGATTAATAGAGATGAATACCTCTAACAACAATACCCAAAAAAAAAAAACTATGTTACTTTACAATCAACAATTTTCTATCAAATCTATTTAATATTACAATTATAAAGTTGAATCCTCAACTTATAAAAACACAATAACGATTAAGATTGATATGATTTTAATCTACTTTGATCCAATGATACAACATTCTTTCCAATTTTATTTTATTTTTTGCTCAAAAACATTAATTCAACTAGCACACTTTTCAATGTCAGACAACCCAACTAATCCACACTTACTTCTTTCTTCTCTCTCTCTTATTTTTTCTTTGTTTCCTTTAATTTTAAAATTGTTGTACGATCATTACTCGATTTTTAAAATTGTTCCACAAAAAAATATTAATACAAAAACAGATTGCTATTTATAACATAAATGTTGTACTATCAATACTAAATTTTTTGGTATTACAAAGTATTTTCAGAAATGCGATTATTGCTAATATATTTATATGAAAAAAAGAATTAGCAATCAAATCTGGAATTGAAATAGATATTTTCTGGTTTGTTCAGGAACTGAAGTTAGCTCCGCAGGCCCCACAGATACGCTAAACAAACAGAGCAGAAAAAAAAAAGTTAATGTTATTTTTGGTTTCTAAATTACATCTGTTTTATCAGTTTGATCATCATTATATTAATTTTATCAATTTGATCTCTAAAATTTTAATTTATATTACTTCAGTCTCTGATCAGAAAATTTATTAAGTTTTATGACAAAAGTGATCACGTGTCATTCTTTTAGACGATATTATGTGACTAATACATGATTATTCCGACAAAAAAAACTTAACAGATCATCTATGTAAGGACAATTTAAACACAAATTAAATACTTTAGCGATCAAATTGATAATATTAATATTTTGGAGATCAAACTGACAAAACCTACATATTTTAGATACTAAAACTACTATTAATCCATAAAAAAACATCAATATAACAAACACAGACCATGACTCAATTTAACTTAGCATTTAAAACCTCAACTTGAGCAAATACAACACTCAATACTCTTATTACAACACAAAAACAACTCTCTCAAGCTCTAAATTCAACATAAATAAAACAGTTTGGATCCATGCTCCATCAGTAGTTCCCATCCCGATCATCTAAACTCTGAAAAGAAAATGATAACGTGGGGGTGAGTCACAATTAGTTTAGTAGTTTAATCAATTCTGAAATAAATATAATTTTTTTGAAAAATACATATTTTGCTGTGATTGCACATTTGCGGATACATAATCATAAACAAAAAATAACTAAGTATTGAAAAACTGAGTTATAATCAAGAGCAGATACCATACCATACCATACCACTTAGGGTCTACACCATATCATACAATCCAATAAATTTTTTAAGGAATTTTCGGTCCAAAGAAGATACGCTCTTTCAATTCAAATTTAGTACCTAAGTTTGAAGATCACTAGACCACCGAAGCACTTACGAACTCAAAAAAACCCTAAGCCCTCTAAGGCTCAATCTTGTTTGCATATACTTTCATAAATTGGATCCCGAAATCACCAACCATTATTTGACTCAATCACTTTCAATAAGATAATTTAGAACATTGGTCATAAAGTATTTTGAGTATTAAAGATGAATTTGAAAATCAAGTCCATTTTAGAACCGAAATAACCTACCGCAATCTCGGCTTCGGATTCTAACCCACTGCGAAAAATTATTTCAGTGGCAACTCTAATATATATATAAATACTATTTGAACATAGAAATATTTTTAGTTTGATCAAAAAGTGCATAAGCTGCCCAAACTGGATCCGAAAAAAGGCAAATGGTTAGTTTTGGTAGAATATGCAAACGGTGTCGAATTTTTCTCCATAATCCCTTTTCGGAAGATTCTCAGTTGAAATCGGATTCTCCAATTTGCGCCTAATTAGGGTTTGTAATTTGGGCTCAACAAACAATAATTCTAAATTTAAGTGTGAACTTTTTGCATAATGTTGGACTCATTAACACAACTTATTAAGGGTATAAGGATGAGCTTTCTTTATGCAGGAGAAAGGAGAGAGGTTGAATTTGAATTGAATCTGATTTCATCAATTCAGGTTGGGTTCAAGTTGAACCCGTGAACCTGAGCTCTTAATCCAAGGTTTGCCCAAATTTAATTCGAGTTGAAACTTTTTAATCCTAACCCTAACTCTAATCTTAAAAACTCCTCAACTCTTTAACACTATTTTTCTCGAGTTGAGTTCGGATTTAATTCGGATTGGTCTACCCAATTTGCACCCCTAGGACCTAACTTCTTTCCCCTATGATATCAAGCTTGTTCTGGCACCAACTGTTTGATAATATTCACTGCGATATGTCGCGTTTTAGTAAACTATGTTGGAAGGACTTCAATCGCAGAGACAGCATTGCATGCATGGTGAGATTTTTCGATTTTGTTTAAAAATGTTGCCAATGGCAGTGGATTAGGGCTAATTATTCTTAATTAAGTTTGACATTTTTAGGAGATTCTGATTTATTACCTAATTAATTTTGTAAACAGTTTTATTTTATTTCCTATATTGATAAGGATTTTTAGTGAAAGTTGGAAGTGAGTTCCCCTAGATGTACTTGTTTGGAGATAAGTTCTGCAAGGAAACTTATAAAGGACTAAGTCCATGTTTAAAATTATATGTAATGACTTAAATCTACTTTTTTTTTTATCTCAAAAATACCCTTCCTTGAAAGGAAGTTAAATTATTTTTCTATTTTGGAAATTGTTATCATTTAATTCAATGTCAATTAAAATATGCCAATAAAATCTCCATCATAAATTCAAAATTCAAATTCAAAATTTTCCCACTCTCTCCCTCTCTCTCCCTCCCTCTCTCTTTATATATATATATACACACACTCTCTCTATCAAATTCAAAGCGCTCTCTCTATATATATACACTCTCTCTCTCTCTCTTTATATATATATATATATATATATATATATACTAATCATAACCCGTGTCTGAAGGCACGATAAAATATAAAATTTGAGCGTCCAAAAAATCGATCCCATTATATTATTTTTAAAAAAATATATATTAACTACAAATTAATTAAATATTAAATGATTAAATATATAATAAAAATGAGTGATATGATATTTTTAGAGAATAAATATATAAATGATTAAATATATGATAGCAATAAGTGATGTGATTTGACGTTTGAGTCTGAAAAATGGATGATGAATGAGGTAAGTGATTAGTGATGGTTTTAAGAGAGAGAATATGATTGAGACAAAATTTAAACACACTCCTATTTTATTATATACATATATATATATATACACACACACACACGCTGATTTGTTATGGAGATGATACAAGTATTGTGGCATTTGTGTGGTGGTGAGCGTTGTTGTGGAAGTGATAACAACGTGATGGTTGGTGTTGCTTGGGAGGTGACAATAGTGCGATGGTGGCAGTGCCTTGGTGAGGAAAGTGGTAATCGAATATATATATATATATATATATATATATATATATANATTTTTTTTATTATATTACTGTCTATGTTATTGTTCATGTTACTGTTTTTATTGAGCATGTTATTACTATTATTTTATTAAATATTAATATTCAATGTTACTATTTTTTTTTTAAATATTATTATTTTTGTTGTTTGAATGGTACTATTTTTTGTGTTAGAATTTGAGAGAAATAATTATTGTTAAATATGTTACATTTTTGTTAAACATGTTACTATTTTTGTTGAACATGTTAATATTTTTGTTAAATATGTTACTATTGTTATTTTTTGAAAGTATTAATATTGAATTTTTTTATTTTTTTATGTTTAAATGTTACTATTTTTTTGTGTTTAAATGTATTATATTTTGTGTCCAAATGATAACTTTTTTTTTGTATTTAAATGTTACTATTTTTTATTTTTAATGTTACTATATATACATATATGGACATAGATAGACATAAGAGAGAAAATTTTAATGTTAGTCAAACTCTTAACTTATATATGAATAGATATAGATATTAGAGAGAAAATATTTTAATATTAGTCAAACTTCTAAGATTTAAGAGTTTTTAATTTTTAATTTTATTTCACTTCTAAAGAGAAATGATAGTACGATAAAATTGACAAAAAACGGACTTTATAATAAATAAGCTTTTTTGACAGACTTAAGTCCAAACAAGTTTATATAGAGAGACCGGTCTCTAAATTTTCCTTTATTTTATTTCCTAGTTTCACTAAGATTCTGCCATTATAAATAGCCAACTCTGTAGCTTTTGAGGTGAATTAATAAAGAGATTTCTCTTTCCCAATTTTTCTGATATCTATAGGAATTGACAAATTAGTTAGTGATAACTGACATTCTAAGTGAATCACTAAGCCTAAAGAAGGATTTTTAACCAGTATTTATGCGCAAATCAACGATTTTGTTTCATTCTATTTTCAATCTCTTGTTGTTCATTATATTCCCAATTTTTACACATTTCTCTATATCAGTTGGTATGTGGTCTTTTCTACACCATGTCGCTCAGAAGAACTGACAGTGGTTGTAATGCATCTTTTGAGAACGTGTCTATACGAAACAAAATAGGGAGTGAGGAAGTGGGAATCGAAACAAAATAGGGGCAAAACTTACAGCAAACAAGAGGAAAAAAAAAAGAAAAAGAAAAAGGGATACCACTGATTTCCACCGCCGCCTTCATCTCCTTCATTCCAAAGTTGTGATGCCAGCTTCAAAAATAGAAACAAAAATAGAGGCAAATTTGTAAATTAATGCAAGTAGAAGGGAAAATTGACACCAACACTTTTATAAAGGGTAGAGTAACATATGTTTGAATGTAGAGACTTTACATAAATTGACAGAATTAATCCTTTTTCACATTATCATGGGTAATAGACTTGCATAAGATTATAGAGTTTGCTACATTGCGCCCTTCACTATTTAATTGGTTTCACATAATTGTAAAGCTAAACATATCCACGTGTTTTCGGGATATCATGATACAAAAGTTGTAATATCGTAATAATTTTTTTCAAATAAATATATATCTCCTGTTCTGATCTAGTTCATTTGAACTCAACATCTGTGGTTATTAAATATCAAGACATTTTTTCAATACATGTAATCCTTTTATTTTCCTTAATTATCACTTTATGATGTATTTTTCTTAGGGTTTTTATAAGCTTTCCAAGGAATTTAAACCTACAAATACTCGTACCAGAGGATGACTTTTATCTTTTTGATACTTTATTTCACAAATTATTTTTCAGATAATAGTAGAAGAATAATCCATACTTCCTTTCTTTGATTGTTGAATTTGATTAGGTGGAAAATTACCCTCTGGATTCCTTAGCTGCCATAGAGAAATTGAGTGAAAGGGTTTGGCCGGTGGTGACCTACAAGCAAGAAATTCTTGAGATACTCGTTGCATTGTTGGACGGGATTCTGGTTCAGAACGCAGGCATGCAAAAGCCAATGTAGAAACAAGAACAACATCTCTGGCAACCAATGGATCAGTTGGTGGTGAGAGGCGTGGGTCTAACACCTCATTTAGCATTATATTTTGAGCAGATGATGATGATAGTGATGAGAGCAGCTCTCCTGGATGTCTTCCCATAATTGTTTCCAATGCCACCACACCAAAGCTATAGACATCACATTTCTCTGTAACAACCATGGTGTATGCAAGCTCTACACGAGGAATGAAGATCGTTAAAAAAATAAAATTATGAATAATCTCTTAAACAGATACTCCAAAGCTTATTAAGAGAGACTTCATTATTTTAACAGATACTGTTATCCTAGAAAAAAGAAGAATAGTTTACCTGGAGCAACATATCCATAAGTCCCTACAGTGAGAGTTCGATTCGAAGAATCAGGACATAGCAATTTGGCTGTGCCAAAGTCAGCTACAAAAGCCTCCAGATTCGAGTTCAACAAAATGTTGTTGCTCGATATGTCTCGGTGAACAATTGGTGAGGCACAATCATGATGCATATAAGATAGAGCATGTGCAGTGCCCTTAACGATGTTCACCCTTGTAGTCCAATTCAAATCTACAGCCTCATCGTCATATGATAGTGCACAAAATAAGCTTCCCTTTTCCATGTACTCGTAGACCAAGAACATGCAGTGACTATGTAAACAAAACCCATAAAGCTTTACAATGTTTTTGTGGCGAAGATTCGTCAACATTTGCACCTCATTCCTGAAACTCTTGTCAAATGCTGGTTCTTCAGCCTCTAAACTGTGAAGTTTCTTCAAGGCAAATACTTGGCCATTAGGCAACTGGGCTTTGTAAACACTGCCATAACCACCGGTTCCAATGCAATTTGCGATGTCAAAGTCATTTGTTGCTCGAATGATGTCTTCATACGCAATGCATCCATCGTAATTCCATATTGAGCACATGTTGCCATTCTTCATTGCCCTTGCCTCACAGGGGGTTTTCGTAATCTTACTCCGACAAAAGTAAATAAATCCAGAAACTAAGAAGGCGAGGAAAATAGACATGGCAAGGAAAATGGCAAGAAGATGTGAATTTCCCTTTGCCTTATTGTGTGGTGGATGAGTCAAGGTACACTCTAGATAGGTGTCTGACAAATCAAGTGGGCATGACCCGCAAGGACAATTAGGGACGGTGCCAGAGAGATTATTATGGGAGAGACTCAAGTGTTCTAACCTTGACATGAGGAATACAAGTTCAGCAGGTATGTTTCCACTCAAATTATTGTTGCTCATTCCCAAGTATCGCAAACTGTGGCATCTGTTTAGTTCTTTTGGGATAGGTCCACTCAGAAAATTTTGAGAGAGATCTAAATAATCTAGGGTGGAAAGATTGCCAAGTTCAGGTGGTATTGAGCCGTTGATTTGATTCGCAAACAATTCAAATCTTTCTAAGTTTGCCAAATGGCCAATAGATGAAGGAATTGGACCAAAAAGACGGTTATGACAAAGGTTTAAATATATCAAATTCGTGAGTTCCCTTATCTCTGTAGGGATCACATTATTAATTAGATTTACGGACAAGTTTAAATATTTCAGATTTTTCAATTTAGCAATGCTGGGTGGTATGGAATCATTGATATAATTTGAATCAAGGCACAAAGAATCGAGCTTAGTCAAATTACCAATGGATGAAGGAATTGAGCCAATGAGATTGTTCCAACTCATCTCCAAGTGTAACAACTGCATCAGGTTCCCTATTTCTGGAAGGAGGAAACCGTTGATATGATTTGAAGCAAAGTTTAAATAGTTGAGTTTGGTCAAATTAGCTATAGAGAAAGGAATTGGACCAATGACGTCATTATTGGCCATCTCCCATCCAAATAAATGCACCAAGTTCCCGATTTCTGAAGGGATGGATCCGTTGATTTGATTTGAATCAAGGTACAAATAGTTGAGCTTTGTCAAATTACCTATAGATAATGGGATTGGACCAGTGAGATGATTACTTCTGAGATTTAGAAGAACTAAATTACTCAGGCTCCCCAATGTTACGGGGATGAATCCAGCAAGTCGATTGCGTTCAAGGACCAAATGAGTCAAATGAGTCAAGAGACCTATAGATGAGGGGATTGAACCTATGAGATTGTTATAACTGAGATCTAGGTTAACCAAATTACTCAGATTCCCTAAATCTAAAGGGATGAATCGAGCTAGTCGATTGCGAGCAAGGTTCAAATGGGTCAAATTGGTCAAGAGACCAATAGACGAGGGGATTAAACCAGTAATCAAGTTGTCACTCAAGTTCAGAGAAACCAAATTCGTAAGTGTACCAATTTGGCTGCCAAGACTTCCATGGAGACGACAGTTGCTGAGATCGAGAACCTCAAGGTTTGGAAAGGACGACAAATTCAATTTCTCGAGCGCTGCTCCGGCAGTGAGGATGTAATCAGTGGCGTGTATCTGAATCACGCTTCCTGCCTTATTGCAACTGATACCGACCCACTCGCAGTGATTTGTTGTGGTAGTATTCCTCTGCCACCAACCGCTATTGAGTAGAGCTTCTGCCTCTCTCGACGGCAGCGATGATAGAGTTGAGGTGGTCATTATCATATTAACTGCTGCCACCACCACCACCCATTCTACTAATACAACCGCAGGATTAGTGATCAATGACTTCATTGTTATATATGAGGGATAGAATAGATTCTGTTGCTCCAATTAATTAATCTACATACACAAACCTATTTATATTGCATGCCATGATGAAAAAAAACAAAGACTTTGAAATGCATATTGCCATATTAGTCTTGAGTCTTGACCCATCTTCTGCGGGGAGTAAAAGATGAAATTATCAAAAAGGAAAAACACACAAGTCTTGGTTGCCTAGAGGTATCGTGCGGTGGGCTTAGTCGTCCATGGAGTGAGTATACATGGGATGAATTTAATAGTTTGATAATGAGAAATTAAATTGGGTGATAATTAAGATTTATGGAGTAAAAAATCAAAGCAAACGACACATGAAAAAATTAAATGAAATAAAAATTGAGATTAAATCAAAGCAAACGGGAGAGAAAATCGGCACAAACTTATTAGACTATCATTAGCACATCGTAATGTTAACAAATTAAGTTAATTTTTTAAGTCTTAATAATATTACTCTTAAATAAATTTAGTTAGTCTTTCACCCCCTCCCAGTCGTACTTGAATAGTGTCACATGAAGATTCTTGAGGAACCTATCACAATCATATTTATAATTTGAACCATTGAATCCCTATTGATTTGATTTAGGAAAGTACATTAAAATTTTATAACAAAGTAATTTTACATGTCCCTTATTTCACAAGTAAATATTCATGAAAACGGTGACACCACGTCATTACAATTACATAATATTCCGACTTAATAAAAAATTTACAAGTGGACACTGTAAACACTATTTTTTTATATGGGATAGTTATTTTCTTATGTAGATATTGTAGTTATTAAATCCTGTCGGGTTTAGTGATTAACATGTTAGTTTATTACAAAAATGAAGATAACAAGTGACCATTACATTGAATATTTTCTCATATTTAATTTATATATAAATAATGATGAAAAAGGCTTTGGAAAATGTATTGGTCTTCAGTGTTGACCCATCTACAGGGAGCGAAGGTAGAATTTGAAGGGCCGAAAAATGTCGGTGGGTCTACTCAAAGATGAAGTTAACGGCTGTGATTCAAATGTGGTGGGGGGTAAACCACACAAGTCTTGGTCGCCGGCAATTAAGTAGTGCCCCATTGCTAGGAACTGAAGTTGAAAACGACAGTGATCTGACCTCATCCTCCAAGGCATTGCATGACAAAGAAAATGTAGCTCCAGGATAGGCAGTGAGGCCAGAGAGAGAGAGAGAGAGAGAGAGAGAGACAATCTGTGATTACTGATAGGGATTCAAGATGATGGAGTAAGTTATGAAATCTTTTGTAACTGCAAGGATAAATTGTAGTATCAAATGCCATGTTGAAGATGAACAATCACTTACTTCATAGTTCGGCTCTTTTACTCTTTTGGTCAAGTTCTTTGTTGAGAAAATAAAAAATGAAAAATGTTAAAAGTGTACCCACAAAAAAAAAAATAATAAAAAATGTAAGCATATAAGAGTATCACTGTAGATAGCAAAAATAAACTATTATACTACTCATACTATCATGTTTATTATGATGTGATGTTAGGGGTGGCAATCGAGTCGTGTTGTATCAGGTTCGTGTCGTGTCGAACATTAGTCATGTTGAACATTAGTCAATCCATACCCAACTCATTTAACTATTCGTGTCGTGTCGAGTTGATCTATTTATTTTCGGGTCGTATTCGTGTTCATATTCGTGTTGACTTACATAAACTTTGAATAAAAAATTTAACGCTAAGATTTTATTTTCATTTAATTGAATCTCTCCTCGTACTTTTTCTACAAACTAAAAATTAACTTAATAATAATAATAACAACAATAATGAGTAATAATATCTTTTTTATATAATAATTATGTCAATACTTGATAAACAGTTACAAATAATTAATATTTTATTTATATAATACTAATTAAATATGTTAATTGTACATCATATAATCAAATTAAACATCAGAAATAATGGAAAAAATAAGTCATCAAAACATGAAAACTCATACCTGCAACGAAAAGGCCAAGTCAATCTCCTTCGAATTAAAAATTTCGTGTTGACGGGTCAATTCGTGTTAAACGAGTTGAACCTGAACACAACTCATTAATACTTCGTGTTGGCGGGTCGTGTCAAAAAATTAGTCAACCCAAACTCATTTATTCGTATCGTGTTTTGTATCGGGTTATTGTGTCGTCGTATCAAAAATTATCACCCCTATGTGACGTGGTACGATCACAATCATAAATAAATTATTTGAGTTAACTTAATTCACAAATGTAATGATCCATAATGAGATGGTGCACAAAAATAGTAAGTGTAATAATAATGCTGATCAAAATACGGGCAAAATTGTAAATTTAACTGCAAATATAAGGAGAAAAGTAGAGAAAATTCACACCAACATCGTATTTTTTTTTTTTTTTTTAAGACAAAGACTCCAACTTGGTAATTGGGTACTAGAATAACGTGTGTTTAAAGGTAAAAAATTTGCATGAATGGACAGACTAGACTTGTTAGTCTTTCACGCCACCCACGGGTCATACACTTGAATAGGATCACAGGAAGACTCCGGGAGGCAGCTGTGATTTTATTGTAATCGTCAGATCAATAATAAATTTTAATATTTAATAAGTTTATAGTGAATTAGATCACTAAATTAAGTTAATAAATTAGATTTCAATAACATTACTCTTAATTTTCACTTTATACCTTAGAAGCGAAGCACGGATTCAACACTAGATAGGCCAAAATTCAAATAAAAAAATAACCTACAAATACGAAAAAATTTAAAAGTTGAAATGGAAAATTTATTCCAACCTAATAAATACTTCTTAATTTTGCTATTTCAATGAACTAGCAGCTCTTACCAGATATAGACGGACATTGAGTTCATTTTCATTCTTTCTCGTTTCTTTACCTCTGCTCATTTGTTTTCTGCCAAGGGAATGGGTTGACTTGTAATGCTAAGCATGCCAGGGTGGCTCTTAACCTTTTTAAAAAAAGTAAGTGGGATTGCAATGCTCTGCTTTGTGTACTGGTATGATATATTGGGGAAGAAGCCATGGAAATAGCCAATCTTGTGAGGCGCTCAGTTGTTTTACAAATGAAAACTTGGCCGTAATGTTTCTTTCTTTTTTTTTGGTGTTGAAATCACTTTTTTAAAAATGAAATAACCTTAGTCCATAGGTTGCGTTTGCGTTTATGATGATTTATGAAATCTAAAAAATATTTTTTCAACAAGTACCTCTAATTAGTCATATCAAATACTATTATTTTTTTATGAAAGTACTTACGATATTCATATTTTAAGATTGAAAGTAATTTCCATCTAAGTTTCTTACCTTTTGTTTCTTGAGCTCTTGGTGGAGAATGTCATTATGCCGACAAGTAGATTGAGCACTTTTTAATTCAAGTTGAATAAATAATTACCCACTCACTCTAAACTCAGCTACGTGATTATTTGCTATGTCATTAAGCTTTATGCATTATCTTATTTTTATCACCTGATGTGCCACCTTAAAATCATTAAACATTTAATAAATTTTATGCAACCCACTACCCCAATCATAATAAGAAGGTTTAAAATAATGCAACCAAGAGAAAAAAAAAAGTGACACCAACGTTTTCCAACAACACCATCATCTACTTCAATTCCAGAGTCAAGACACCATCTTCTAGATTATGAATGGGAAATAAAAAAAAAATTGGGGGCAAAATTGTAAACTAATGCAGGCAGGAGAGAAAATCAATGCCAACACTTTGAGTAACGTAGGTTTGGGGGAAGAGACTTTGCATAAAGATGGATAGAATTGTCAGTCTTTCACCCCTCACACGGGTAGTAGACTTGAATAAGATGAAAGGAAGACTCGTGAGGTTAAGCTGTCTGTTACGATCATATATATATGTTTTTGGACTACTGAACTTAACATAAGACTTTTCATAACCGTGATTTACACCTTGCATCATTGAACTATAATAATCCGGATGTTACTTCTCTCTTTTATTATGGAGTTATTTATACTGTTTCATCATCTAATTGAATTAGTTTCAAATCACTCCAAAACCAAACATCCGTCTTGTTTTTGGATATTTAATATCCGCGTGCCATTGGATTATGGAATAAAAACAAATAATTCGAGGAACAAAATTGTCACAACTTTTTAGCCAAGTTATAACGAACATCAGTAATTCAAGCAATATAAAACTAATAATGTTGGACCAAAAAAGTTTTTTAAATATAAAAATTGAATTTTTGGTCGACTTTGAGGCTAAATTAAAGTAGGACTCGTTTGTTGTTTCGAGTAAACTTTCGTGGGTTCGTATTCGACTTTGTGTGAAAAATAATTTAGTATATTCACTTGCTTAAATTAAGAAAGAAATAAATGAGAAAATATACTCAAACGGAACCCTATTGAAATGTGAAAATAAAGGTTGTGCAATATGGAATTTGATACCAATCCCACATTGGTTGAGGAAGAAATTTAACATGGGTATATATAGGTCAAATTTGTTCTATGGGATTGGTCCCCAAGGAGTAGGGTTGTCAAAATCTGACACGACACGATTAACCGACACGAATTGACACCAATTAAGCATGTTTGGGTAAGATTTTAACGAATTTGGGTGATAAACGGGTTGACACGTCAAACACGTTTAATAAACGGGTCGTATTCAGGTAAGACCTGTTAAACCGTTTATCACACGTTTATCTGTTTAAATAAAATTAATATAATAATAAATTAATAATTATTTTAAAAAAATAGCAAGAAAAAAAAGATGTAAAAAAATAAACAAAAAAAAAAGTAAAGTAGTAGTTCAAAGACAACGGAGATGAGATGAGGAGCACTTCAAAGACAAAGGTAAACCAATGCCTTTTGTTTTTGTCCCACATTGAAAAATGAGGAGAGATGGGGAGAGTTGAGTTGCCTATAAAAAGCATTGGTCTCTTGCTTTTTTTTTTTTTTAAGCCTTTAAGTCTTATGTTTATGAGATTTAGCTAAAAATTTCTCTTTTTGAGATAAGT